TCCTTGTGTGATCCTAAGCACTCGAATGTAGGCTAATGATGCTCTTGTGTGCAGCTGTGGTTGTGTTCCATGATCTGGTCCAGCTGTGATTGTGTGATGTGCTTGAATGCACTTCCTGGACACGGCTGCTTTCCAGTTGATGATAATGCCCTGGAAAGTCTTTGTCAATGTTTGATCCCCAGAGTTTAGCAACCCTCCACATTACCGATACACCTTGTGCGGCAGCATGTGTCATCCACCAGGGTCACCACTGCCTGCATAGAGGATGTGGATGTGTGTGTGTGTGTGTGTGTGTGTGTTGGTGGTGATGTTTGCTCCAGCTGCCTCAAGCTGGCTGACTTTCTCTTGTTGCTCTAGGCATGTAACATTGGGTGTGCTCTTCTTAGTGTACTGTGCACACAGTGCGCACCCTGGTGGTTGGCTGTTACACAGTCAGCGTTTTGTTAGGTGCCGGACTCGCGTGCCAAAAGAGACTGGCTTGATTGTTTGACAGTTTAAAAGTAGTGATGCTTCTGTATGGAACGACGTTGCTTGATTCTGTTTGGGTTCTCCTTCTCGCCGTATCACTGACATCTGGTGAGCACACCTACATTTGTAGGCAGAGTGAGGTTTCTTTTGAAGCAGCCTTGTATTCTACCTGTGTGTTGACCTGAAGTGGTGTGGACTGGATGACTTGGCAATGAACATGCGTGGTCGCCTCCTCCTGGCTGTCTTGCCAGTATGCTGTTTGTTGTCTGCAAACTTGCCGTTCGGTGTTGGTCAAAGTCACCGCAAGTCGTTTTCTCATTCCCCTTCAAGGCTGGGAAAACCTAGCACCACTCTGAAAGATGTGACTGCTGTGGAGCTGGTTCATTCGACATCTAGGTCCGCAGTGGAGCCGTTTAACATGACACTGGCCAGGTATCTTGTTGTCGTATCCCGCATCACATATGATACCAGCCTCGGAGACATACTTGACCTCTCATGCAGGAAGTGCCGCCCCTACAGGCAGCAGTTGTCAGGTTTTCGTCTGTCACGCACCTTGGAGAGTGTGGAGGAGGACACACTTGCCATTGTTGGCGTTGACCAGCGACTGAGTGCCATTGTTGTGGCTTTCCGCGGCAGCACTACGCTGCGCAACTGGTGGAACAACCTGCAGTTCCTCGCCGAGCCACTCTGGTCTGGAAGTCCTTGTGCTGGCTATGCTCCTCGAGTGCATGCAGGCTTCAAGGCGTCCTATGCTCCACTCCGCAGCCAGCTGTTAGCTGAAGTTGCTCGTCTTGTGTCACACAATCCCGGTGCCAAGCGTATTCTCGTGACTGGGCATTCGCTGGGCGGTGCCTTGTCCACTTTGGCAGCATTGGATCTGTCCGCCCAGCATCCCGGCCACCAACTGGCAATGTACAGCTTTGGTGCTCCCGTTGTTGGCAACCCGGCGTTTGCACAATGCTATGAGCGCTTGGTGACGAATTCCCACCGTGTTGTTCATCGCAGTGACGTAGTCACCACGTTCGTGCCTGGCGGCTTCAAGCACGTTCCAAGAGAGCACGTTGAATTCTTCGCTCTTCGTCTCCTCCCTGATTTCTTCATCCTGTCTCATACAATGTATTTGGGTGTCTACTGTGGCATGTAGACATGTAGGCATGTGGGCAGGGAAAACATCGAAAGGTAAATAAACACACCACACATTGGTGTATGACTTCTGGCAGCACACCAGTATACTGCACATGTACATGTACTGGACCTCTACCACCCATGCTGGAGTTTATTCTATCCCAACATGCATAGTATTATAATTCATGCTAATTAGTATTAGAGAGGTTCTGCACTACGTTAAGTTGAGCAACTTTACGTTAGTGGGTGGGAAAAACTCGTGAATTCGCGAGTTTGCACTCCGTATGGCGGAACGCAGATGCGCATGCAGTTTACGTAAGACTTTCCGTAGATCGACTACGTTTTTTACTAACGTAATTACGTGATGCGGAACCTCTCTATTATTATCAAATGTACGCCTCTCCCCCTAGATATTTTGGCAACTATTTTGTTTTTGTGCTCATTGTTTTTGTTTTTTGTTTTTTGTTTTTGTTTTTTTTGTGACACTCTTGCAATGTACTTCTGCTGTTCTTTAGTTTCACTTTGAACTTTTCTTACACTTGATGTGGCTCCTTATAGGCGATTCACACGACAGGCAAATCCACGTTTACAGGAAAGTCCCCATGGAGATATTCCTGCTGGCGACCAAAATTTGCCCGCGGGAATCAAAAGTGTCCATGGCCTTTTTGCCCGCGGCTGCACTCATCTGCGGGCACTTTTACAGTTATGAGGCTGTGAGGTCGTACTATCGTACGGTAGTCTTGAACCCTGGTTGTTTGGCCTTTGTCTTTGGGTACTCATTCCAAATCACCACAGTAACGCCGTATACTCACCAGATACTCGCGGGAGCTCTGGCCGCCACCCGCGGCCGTGTGAACTGCAGCCTCACGTTTCACTTCCTGCGGGCACCTGACAAACGTGGATTTGCCTGTCGTGTGAATCGCCTATTACAAATATACAGTGACATTGTTTGCTCGAAATGTGACTCTTGTGCTGGGATTCTTGTTCCATGTACGATTGCACACGCGATTTGGGCCCGTTGAGTTCAGTTGCCGTTTGATATTTGGGAAATCTAGCAAGTGTTAAGTGGCAGTAGCAAACGAGAGAGCTTGGAAGCTCAGGGCCCTACGCTTTGCTTTTTTGCCTTGATGACCTAGGCAAAAAAAGCATAGGGATGTTATACAATTTTCATTTCGCCTATTTTTTTCTAAAGACATAACCTGGGATTCGAACCCGCACTATCGCCCTGCATGCATCCCCCGATACACTTCGCATACATACTAATTCTTCCAAGTTGCTTCACGTTTATATATATAATATGATCTTGCATTTGAAAGCCCTATTTGAATATTGTGGCCAGCTGTTTGTAGCCAGCCGTCTTTGATGGTACGGTATGGTACGGGACAGGTACGGTCGAGGGTAAAGCGGGATTCACAGAAGCTTTTTTGCGATGCGACACGCGATGCGACAGGCGCGAAACCGGGAAAACCCCAAATCGCAGCCATGTCGCACCCCACGCAACTGCCGCAACTGGGCCATCGCAGAAGTTGAGCTTGGCTCAACTTTTGCGATGCGATGCGACAAGCGATTTGGTGTACGATTTTGACCTTTTCTACAGCAAAGTTGTACAAAGGTTCAAGAGTTGCTTATAAATTTGTAGAAGTTGTATCAAACCGCGCGAATATCATGGTGACGTAGCCAAATCAGCAAGATGTTGTCGCATCGCTGACTTTTTCGGTGAATGGTATTTCGCGAGTTCGCATCGCACGCATCCGTCGCAGATCACGTCGCATCGCGTGTCGCATCGCAAAAAAGCTTCTGTGAATCCCGCTTAATACGACACCGTCTACCACCTTGATGACCTAGGCCAAAAAAAGCATAGGGGTGTTTAATATAAAATTTTCATTTCGCCAATTTTTTTCAAGGCATAACCTGGGATTCAAACCCGCACTATCGCCCTACATGCATTCGGATGATTCCCCGATACACTTCGCATTCATACTCATTCTTCCAAGTTGCTTCACGTTATGATCTTGCATTTGGAAGCCCTATTTGAATATTGTGACCAGCTGTTTGTGGTCTTTGATGGTACGGTACGGTACGGGACAGATACGGGATAGCGCCAGGCGTGTCACAAACAAACAAACAATAAAAACACGGAATTAAAGCTGTGTGGACCCTGGCTAGCGCCAGACGTTACTGAAGTAACGTCTTCTGCATAGCTACGGGAATTAATGTGTATTATGCGAGTATTGTCCCGAAACCCGGAGGTATCTTACCCCCCCCCCCCCACCCCCCTCGTGTCCTGCAGTTGTGTACTAAGATTACATGTGCATGTACAGTATGCAAAACTTGCGTGTGAAAACTGCATGAGTGAACTGGTGTGCCAGATAAACAGTGGATTTTTGTAACTGCCTGCATCACTAGCTGTAGTAGCAGATAATGTGTGTGCCGTGTGTGTGTGTGCGTGCGTGTGTGCACGTGTAAGATTGGTAGAAATATGTTGTTTTTGCTGTTGCTGCTGTCGTTGTTCAGCTCTGTGTGATTTAGTAGATGAGTTGCGCTCTGGCGGCCATCGTGTAGCGATCATTGCTACATCAGCGACCGCTGATAGCCTTCACCCCACATTATGCCGGAGGATATTCCATGAGCCACTAGTCATTCAGCCACCAAACAAGGTATGCCCGCTGTTCCTGTTTGTGTGTGCGTGCATGCGTATGTGTGTCTGTGCCTATGTGTGTGTACATGTGTGTAAACAGCAACAGATTTTAACGAGTCGTACACTTTTGGAAAGATCTTTTGCTCAGCTTTCCAATGATCTGAAAACCCATTGCAAAAGACAGACGGTGACCAAGTGGGACAAACGTTGATGACTGCTGGCTCCTTTGCCAAGGGTTTTGATGTAGAAATGTGTGCCGAGTAGGGAACACTTTCTTTGGACGTCACCAGTTTAGGTTGTGTGACGCCATGCTTTACAGCCCTATATCTGTGTTCGTCCTGTGCGACACTTCTCTGTGTACATCTCTGTGCTCGGCTTGCAGGAAGACAGGCTGGAGATATTGAGACGCTTACTGCAGAAAGCGGACTTGTCCACCAAGGAGGACTTTGATCTCAGGTATTGCAAACCAGTATGCCATTCATCATTCATAGGACGCTCTAAAAGTTTGTTGAGACGGAAGTTCATTGAACTGGCTGCTGGCACTTGTACGATGACGTGCACGGTGCGCATACTCTTGATGTACTGTACGAATAGTTATCAGAATTGTGGTTGGCCGTGCAGTGCAATTCACACTGGTACGCGAGGTGTACAACCTTGATGTGATTTTAAATAATGCTGGTGTTTAAACAGGGGGCCTGTCGAGTCAGTATATTTTCATGAATCTTCTCTGTTCTTCTCTGTTTCTCACATGCCCAGTGACATTGCAGCCCAGGCGGACGGATACGTAGTCGGTGATCTTCAGCATCTGGTTGCGCAAGCTACTCACCACCTAGCTTGCCGGACGATTCAGTCTCTTGAGGCAGTGGCCGCGCTATCATCCAACGACGGTTCTGCTGAAAGCTCAGGCGGTGCTTCATGCCAGCTGATCGCCGAAGACTTTGAGCATGTGATGGCGGACTACACACCTGTTCTGTACCAGAGTGTGCAGGGTAGTGGCAAGCTGGCGGACAGCACAACGTTTGCTGACATTGGTGGCCTGGAGGATGCCAAGGCAGCATTGAAGCAAGCACTCATGTGGCCAGCTAAGGTAACTACTAGCCCCCTCCCGTGATTCTTCTACAAGTAGGCTGTAGATCGTCATGACCATCTAGTGTGCTCTGCTCAGTTTCTCTGTCCGTGCTCGGAGCCAGTGAAACCAGTACGGTGTGGAGTACGAGAACGTAAATGTAGTGTGTCTGTGCCACACCTGTTCACTTCCCTCACTGGAATGAGATTCACTCCTTTCACCTTCCTTTTAAATGCTTATCCAGTTCTCTGCTCTATTTTCCAAGGGATTTGATCTAGGGCTGCAACAAGGGTTTACCCGTTCGGTTACTTTTCGTCTCTGAATCCCTGAAAAGGAAGGTTGCATGCAAAAGAGGGATCATCCCCTACCATTCTTGTCATGCTCTTGCCCACTCATGGCCTCTTGCCTGACCTCATGCGCTGTAGTAGAGTATTGTAGGGTTATTTTGCGATCTTGGTGATGTTTCCCCGCTAGGACCGTCACTCTCGGTGACCATAGCTGGTTGCATCTAATTGCAGCAGCACTGCTAGTGCTAGCCATTGGAACGTTTTGACATGAGCATGTAGCTGTATGTTGTGACTCCCTGAGTGTATGCCTGTGTATTTGTGTGAGCATATGTGTGTGTATGTCCTCAGCGTGTGAGCGTATGTGTGCATGCCTTGCATGCAACATCATGCATTCCATGTGCATGTGTGTGTGTGTGTGTGTGTGTGTGTGTGTGTGTGTGTGTGTGTGTGTGTGTGTGTGTGCGTGTGCGTGCGTGCGTGCGTGTGTGGGGTGGGGGGTAGGAGTTGCGTATGTTTATGTTCATACTTGAGTATGCATATAATTATATTGTGTGCTGTGTTTCTTGCTGCAGTATCCACAAGTATTTTCTCAGTGCCCTGTGAAGCTGACATCCGGTCTACTGCTGTACGGCATGCCAGGCACGGGCAAGACCTTTCTGGCTAAGGCTGTCGCTCAGGAGTGCAATGTGCGCTTCATCCATGTCAAGGTTAGAACTTGAGCAGTATCTAACTACTAGTACCATGCTCTTGTTGCTCGTTCCTCATCCTTCATCTCACTCTTCATCACGTTTTTCATTCCGTTTGGTCTATGCAAAAGCTTTACAGGCTCTGTGTATGGTGTTTACATTGCATTGAAGCGTGCGTGAAGAAGCTCGTAATTATAATAATCATGCTCTATCTTGGCTCTCTCTTTCTCTCTATCTCTCTCCTGGCTAAGTACTGGAACTGCTGGGTTGGCATTGGTCTGGTTTGGACTGTTGGATAGCTCTATGAGCAGTGTGCAAGCTGCCGCTCAGAAAATACACTTCTGTCCGTTGTGCTATAAATAGTCATTGTGATCTTCGATCACTAGGATGTGTAGTGAATATTTGACCATGACAATCTGTGTGTGTGCGTGCATGCGTGCTTGCTCATGCATATGCGCATGATTGTATTTCTGCATGCGAATGTGTTTGTGTGCGTGTGCGTGTGTGTGCGTGCGTGTGTGTTCAGGGTCCGGAGTTGCTGAACAAGTACATAGGTGCCAGCGAGCAAGCAGTCCGCCAGGTTATGGCCAGGTTAGACGCATGCATAGGCTACAGTACCTGCATGCATAGGCTACAGTACCTGCATGCATAGGCTACAGTACCTGCATGTTTACAATGCATGTACTGCATGTACTGTAAACCAGCCATTATTCCAACGAGGCGCATATATAACGATGTCCCAAAATTGACTAGTTTACGTGTACCAAAGGTAACGATTCTCATTCATTCTCAACGCTCAATAGGACAGTATATGTGTCGATTTCTGTGTAACGATTTCTATTTTAACGACAGATTTCTCCTCGTTAACTCGTTAGAGTTAGCACTTCGTTTTATATGGCTATCAGGTTCGGCCTCATTTCCGCTGTGCTGCGCTGACGAGTCCACAAAGGACTAAACAGTTCTGTCCGCCGCAGATTGAGTATATGGCTTTTACAGTACATGTACTGGATGTACCGTACTGCTCTATGAAATCCAGTCGCGTCACTCAAGTTTGTGCCTTGCACTATTTCACAGCCCAGTGTTCGCAGGTCTATCGCTGTGCAACGCCCAGCTCATACTTGAGTGACTCGACTGGATTTCATTGAGCACCACTGTACATGTACTGCATGTGCTGGTAGAGTTCCTATAGAGTTGCACTGCTTTGCTGTGGGTCAGGTAGATAGTGACAACCAGAACTATAACACACATGTATGTACACTTGATTGGTGATAACGGGTGTGGATGGCTCAGTACTGGTGAACAGTCTGGTGATATGCCTGCATTTGCCTGTACCCGATCTTTATGCGATCTTTCTCACCGCAAACCACCGGCCTGAGTCCTGAGGGACAATCTGCAAAGAGGCCTGGCATGAGTGCATTTCTCCACGTGATGATCACTGTTCTGTACATGTACATGTATGTGATTCTAACTACGGTTGCTGTGATGTTTTTTCTTCTATTTAAAAAATACCTTTTTTTGTTTGTGACACTTGTAGGGCATTGGCTGCACAGCCTTGTGTGGTCTTCTTTGATGAGTTTGATGCCCTAGCACCAAGGTATGGGTATTCAGTGTTTGCAACTATTCTACGCACATACGAAAGTCTACATGCCTCCGGACAAGCAAGACAACAACAGGCTTTGAGGATAACCAGTTTTGAAACTGTCTTGTTGATAGAATAAATAATACTACATTTGAATAATTAGAACAACTCTCAAAAAGACTCAGCTTGGAAGCCGAACTTCCAGGCCAGACGAGTATGCGCAATCAACTGGTCACGCTGCTCGTACAACAAAACACGTGATCATAGGTTTTTCATTTGACCCGACGAGACCATACGACGCTTGCAGTCAAACCTATGACTACTATTTGACGGACCTATGGAAGATGGCAACAAAGAATTAAAACACGTGATATATATGGGTGCAGGTGTCGTGCCATCACACGTATAAGAGCAAGAAAGGAACCGTTTAGCAGACACTACAGTACAGTGTAATGCAATGCAAAGAAGTGAATCATGCCATGACAATAATAATAATATAATGCATTTCAGAGAGTGCAACATACATTCTGAACATTTCTCCCCCACCTTGATTAGACACCGATTAATCAATCACAATACAATGTGCTGAGCATGGAACTAGTAACTATTTACAAGTTCACGGAGTCTGAACTCACCGGAGTATGAAATAATAAACAATACACCCAAACACACCAAATGATGAATTCCATGCACTACAAAGCTAGATGTAATGTCATGTTCAATGTGATAACTGTTACGTTACCGGTAGATTGAACGAGCGGATCGCTGTCCATTTCAATCGTTCAACTCCATTCGGCACAGTCGAGCAATCGGACGGACTAGGGATGTGTCGCCAATCTTCACTTTGACAACACGGACATGGCCGTCCTTGCCAGGATAGCTCTCTTGGACTCGTCCGAGCCTCCACTGACCTCTCGGAGTTCCTGGGTCGACCACCAGCACAACGTCGTCAACAGCCAAATCCGGCTGCTCTCGTCGCCACTTAGACCGCGGATTGATGAGCGGCAGCACCTCTGCCATCCAACGCTTCCATGTCTGCAGAACGAGGTCTTGGATGACTCTCCAGCGTTGGCGAAGGTTGTGCTGAGTAACATCAGCTCCCTTCGGTACAAATGGCTGGCCCGGTTGACCGTATAGAAAGTGGTTTGGCGTCAACGGCAACAAGTCCCTGACATCAGCCGACTGGTATGTTCGCGGACGTGAATTAACAAGCGCCTCCGCACCGGTGATAACAGTTGCCAGTTCTTCATCGTTCACCTCGGCACCTGCCAGAACAGCGTAGATTGCACGCTTCGCTGACTTGATTAGCGCTTCATGTGCTCCGCCAAAATGTGGGGCAGCTGGCGGATTGAAAGACCACTTAATGCCTTTGTCTGCCGCTCGGCGCACAACATCCTCCTCCATTGCGTCCATGAGCTCACGCATCTCTCTTGCTGCACCGACGAAGTTAGCACCATTGTCAGAAACCACTTCTATGGGAATACCACGGCGACTTGTCATCCTCATGAAGGCGTTCATGAATGTGTCAGTGTCGAGGCTTGTAGCCATTTCCAGGTGCACGGCGCGCGATTGCAGGCACGTGAAGATACCGTTTAGCCCGTGGCTTGCCACGACCCTACTTGGCGATGAATGGCCCAGCATTGTCGACTGCAACGCGCGAGAAGGCTCTTAGCGGCAATGACACACGGACGGCTGGTAGCAGCGCCATGATCTGGGTACCTGGTGTCGCCGTTCGTCGTCGACACAGGTTGCATTTCTTCTCGTACGCCTTAATGTCCTCGCGCCCACCAAGCAGCCAATAACGACGTGATAACATGGCTAGGGTGTGACTCACTCCTGCGGCGTGGTTACTCTCCTCGTGAGCTTCACGTACAATGAGCTCAGTCACCCAGTGTCCTTTCGGGAGAATGATGGGGCACCTGGCCGTCTCTTCTAGGATCTCGGCGTTCCTCAATCGTCCGTCCAAACAGCTGGTCTCCCATGAACATAGGCCGTAGCTTCACAAGCTTGCTCGCCACTGGAATGGGCTTGCCGGCTTTCAGTAAGCGATACTCATCCAACGCTTCATTCTGAGCTGTAGCAATGGTAGCAGATCTGCTGCTCTCAAGCTCGTCAGCAGCCAATGGACCTGTTTCACGGCATTCTGGCGTCTTGCGGCAATTCTCGACGATCTGGCGGCATTCTGAACATTCGGTGTTGCTTGATTATGAAAGGGGCCATGATAGTGTTTTGTCCCTGCTGTACTTACTTCTGAGTGTTGGGTCATTAAATCCCTATTCACTTCTTCCAAGTACAGTCTGTGTGTACTTGCTGTGTGCCTGCACGTGTGTGTGTGTGTGTGTGTGTGTGTATGTGTGTGTGTGCGCGTGCGTGTGTGTGTTGTGTGTGTTGTGTGGGTGTGGGTGTATGCTTGCCTTCTTGCTTGCATCTGTGGTTGTGTTCTTGTGCGTGTGGTGTTTCCTGGGACTGTGCCATGCTACATGATACCAAGAGTATATAAGCCCCCCCCCCCGGCCGCCGGGGACTTATACTCTTGATGATACTAGTATTCTGGTATACAGTCACCAGGACCTGGTGTTATAGCTGTTGTAGCGGCGTTCTTTGCGTTAGACTGTCAGCCGTGTCACATTACTATTTCAGGGTTCATTTGAGAGTCAGCATATACTTGAAATACCTGCATAGTGTCATAATTCAGTAGTAAACTACAAGTATTGGACGTCATGTTATTGCTCTAATGCAGCCTTGCTTGATGAAGGTGTATGTGAGGAAAAAGTAGCGACTGACTTCACTGACTTGTAGATGTTTGTCCTGTTGGTGTACATAGTTCTGTTTGATTGTGACGTTAACTGTGTACGGCATTTCCCTGGATATAGGCCACACCTTTTGCTCTGATTGCAAGGGCAAAGAAAGGTTGCACGATTTACAGTCGAGCGTGACTTCTTTCTGGTGTCAATATATGGCTGAGACCTGAAGGGGGGGGGGGGGGGGGGGCGACTTATAATCGATTGCGACTTATAATCAGGGAAATGGGGTAGTGTTTTCCCTGGCCGCTTCACTTCTTTGTTCTGATGTTTGCTGTTGCTGCTGCTGCTGTTGCTGTTGCTGCTGCTGCTGCTGGAACCTTTACAGACGTGGTCACGACAGCACTGGTGTGACTGATCGTGTTGTCAATCAACTTCTCACCCAACTCGATGGTGTAGAGGGCAGGGAAGGTCAGTGTACTTACCATACCAGTTTTGAGTTTTAGAATTGCTCGAGCTACTGCCATTAGGCATGTTGATATTTCTAAGAAATGAGTACTTGTGTGCTGCATGGTAGACATGTATGTGTACATGTATGTGTTGTTTGGCTAGTGTCACAACTCCACTTGCCATCCCACACGTTTTGCATACATGTGTTCTGTAGGCGAGGATGGCTTGGACACCTCGGAGTGGTGTTGTGAACTGTACTGGATTGGTGGCCAATCCGCGTCCTGAGGCGCAGGAATACAGAGGACATGTACTTATACGTGTTGTTGTCTTCTGTATACTAGTATTGACAAACTAAACAGCTACACACCGATACATGATAAAACTAAACGTATTGGGAAAGGGACGAACAAGTAGACTACCAAAAGGACTCTCGACTACAACATCGTGCATGCGCATATCCATATGCACTCGACTAGACGAAGACAGTTTGGGGAATGTCATTACAACGAACGACACTGGGCAGTTCACAACCAGCATGTGTGCGAAGACAGTTTGGGGAATGTCATCACAACGAACAACACTGGGCAGTTCACAACCAGCATATGTACGAAGACAGTTTGGGGAATGTCATCACAAAGAACAACACTGGGCAGTTCACAACCAGCATGTGTGCGAAGACAGTTTGGGGAATGTCATCACAATGAACAACACTGGGCAGTTCACAACCAGCATGTGTGCGCTGTGTTACTAAGACAGTTTGGGGAATGTCATCACAACGAACAACACTGGGCAGTTCACAACCAGCATGTGTACGAAGACAGTTTGGGGAATGTCATCACAATGAACAACACTGGGCAGTTCACAACCAGCATGTGTACGAAGACAGTTTGGGGAATGTCATCACAACGAACAACACTGGGCAGTTCACAACCAGCATGTGTATGAAGACAGTTTGGGGAATGTCATCCCAACGAACAACACTGGGCAGTTCACAACCAGCATGTGTGCGCTGTGTTACTAATTTTACCATCTTGTGATCTCTCTTTGGCCAGGTGTGTTTGTCCTAGCTGCCACCAGTCGTCCTGATCTTATTGATCCGGCATTACTACGCCCTGGTCGGCTGGACAAGTCCATCCTCTGTCCACTGCCCAGTCGGGTAAGTACATGTAACAATGTTGTTGAGCACTAGGAGCCCCGGCGACTGGGTGTAGGGTAGGCCTAATGTATGGTGACACGGGCTGGCTGGGCTTCAAGCCTTGGCTTGCTTTCACCTTGAATAGCGTCTTTTCCTGAAGCCCAAGTACATGCCAAGTCCTGATGACAATAGTCTGCATAACGATACTAATTTTTGTGTGCGTGTGTGTTTGTGATCTTTCCAGGAGCAACGGGTTTCCATCCTACAGTGTTTGGCCACGGAGGTGAAGTTGTCAGCAGACATCCACCTTGAACAGCTAGCCAGCTCCACTGTGGACTTCACTGGTGCTGACTTGCGTGCTCTACTCTTCAATGCACAGCTTGCAGCCGTGCACAGCGTGAAACCGCAGGTATGTGTGCTGTCACTGCTGTCTAAACTTCCGTCATATTTCAAGAGCATCGGACACGGAGTATTCAAACTGACAAGTTTGCTTCGGATGACCTGGGGTTTCAGACTTTGGATTTATGATTCAGGTGAAAGTTTGTTCATATCTCAATTAACTAGCACCAGCACCAGCACCACCGCCACCACCACCGCTGCCATCCCCCCTCCTCACCACTGCAGTTTTGTGCTACAATTATAAAATTGCAGCCTAATGCAGGGTAAGACTGTGATGGTGATGGTTGTGGTGATGGTAGTGGTGATATTGGTAAAGAGAAGGATCTCATTTGTTTCTTAAACATCAACAAAGGTCAGGGTGTGATTTTCGGACACTGTCCCTATTAGCATTGGACAGTTTGGTAGCACTGGATTGGATTGTGTGGCTTCCAGACAGGCATGTGCCATACACACCAGCCATGCTACTAGTATTACTGTTATTGCCATACACACCAGCCATGCTACTAGTATTACTGTTATTGCCATACACACCAGCCATGCTACTAGTATTACTGTTACTGCGGAGAATATGGCGGTACACATGGTGTCTTACACTTATCTTGTCTCAATCACACACGTATGGTTGTGTGTGTGTGTGTGTGTGTGTGTGTGTGTGTGTGCGCGCGCATGTTTCACTCGTATCGAAGGTGACTGGACAAGCGGGCTTAGTCTTGACCCCCGATCATATCTCCTCAGCCCTTTCTTCTACTAAGCCATCGCTACCCGATGCGGAAAGGAAAAGGTTGGACAAACTGTAAGTTCTCCGAAGGCCGTTGCCACACAGCACATGGGACTACTAGTACAGGCAAGAGTCCATAACACCCTATGGACTCTTGGTACAGGGAACAAAACCTTGGCTAGCACATCCTGGCGCAACTTTCGGTAACACTACCATTGTACCAGCTGAGGTTTTCTGCGATATTGGAGACTGGAGAAAAGCATGCCGTTGTTCAGCAGGGAGATGTTTGTAGCTTTTACTTTTCTTTGTTGTTTAAAGCTACATGTACGTAGTTCAAGTAGCCGCATCCTGTCATCCTCTATTAATTAAAGTACCGTAAAGTACCGCCAGAGCGCCCCACCATCTCATCCTTTCGTGGTCGTATTGTGGAGGTGATCTGCTGTCTGTAGGTCATACGACATGAACCTTGTACACATATTGCACGTTTTGCAGTCAATCCGTACCTTCGAGCGGACACAAGCTCCACACAAAAACCTGCCAAGTGTGACCTTAGTACACTACTAAGGGCGCGTTCGAATTGTCACTCTTTGACTTTTCGAGGAGCTTCGTTTTTCTGAAGAGGTGGCCTTATTGGCCTCTTCAGAAAAACGAAGCTCCTCGAAACTCCTCGAAACTCATCTGATGGGAAGGGGGATTAGTTTCGAAGAGTTTGGAATAGCTACGTCACGTAGTACGTGGAGATGGTCGATCTGATCGGACGTCATCATCGCCATGACAATTCCACTGAAAAACTCTAAAATGATAGAAACCGTTCTGATGGGACACTTCAACTAATCTCTTTATAAAATTTGTTAGAATGAAGACAATTCGAACGCGCCCTAAGATTCTCACATCGCACACACTTTGTTGCACTCTGCCATAGGATTTTCCTTTCTCTGGCTGTAAAATCAAGGTGGGGCGCTCTGGCGAGACGGGGCGCTCTGGCGGTACTTTACGGTTTTGTGTGCGTGTATCTGTTGTGGCTGGGGGTGCATTCACGTGTTTCTGTGTTCCCTGTTGCCGCATGTTTCTGCAGCTATGCCAAGTTCTCCAAGAAGAGGGATGGAACACCTGGTGGACACGAGTGGCTGGAAAACCAGAGAGCTACACTGGCTTGAAAGTTGAAAGCATTCGTGTAGCCTAGCACTCTACTCCTCCACACTCTTCAGTACACAGTCTCAGCATACTCCTCTCAACATTGGTCCGCATTGGTGTATACGTTAAGGCTGGTTCAGACATGCAAGTTGTTATGTATTGGAGATATACCATAGTAAAGCTGTTGAAAATTGAGTATGATAATACTAATAGCAAGACGGTATCAAAACGCATCATGGATTGAATATTGTAGCTGGCGGCAAGCAGAAAACACATTTTCAGATATTACTTTCATGAACATATTTTTTACTAACTTTTAATTAATTCTATTATTTTTATGTTTGATCTCTTCTTCTTTACTTTGAAGCTGGTTCTTCATTACCTGATGCAGAGCTTCCTCTCGAAGAGGAAGCCCCTTGCCTTTTACGTGTATTCATTTTCGGTGTTGTTCTTGTTGCCGGGCTGTTGGTGGTGGTGCTAGTTGTCTTGCCTTGGGCTTTGATTTCGTTGCCTTGGGCTTTGATTTCGGTGCCATGGGCTTTGATTTGAGCGCCTTATGCGATGGCGTAGGCGGGGCCTTTCCCGACGCCTTCTCTTGCGCTCTGCCTTCATTTCTTGCCGCAGTGGGTCGCTCTCATGAGTCTTGATCTCCAGCCCTAAGAATTTCAGGTCAGGCGGCTTGTTCGCCTTCAGGACTACCTGAGTCGATTTCTTCTTCTTCTTTTTCTTCTTCCGTGGAAGTTCGTCGTCCTGGTCATCGTTGTCATGGTGACGGCGCTTGGTTGATACATGTCCAGAGGATGCAGACTCGCCAGACAACGTCTCATCCTTCTGGGTAACTTCCACTTCTCGCAGCCAGGGTACTACTACGCGTGGCAAGTGTGTGCTGATGGTTGCAATCATGTCCTCGAGGATAGCATTGTTCTGTGCACTGTCCGCCTTCTGTACAGAGCAAGAGAGATGAAGAAGAAACCAACAAACAATTAGTCAAAGCCAACTGACAACTGACAGAGCACTGCTACTGCATGTACAATGCTGCTGCTGAATGAGATCCGATCATCGCATATGTCAAGTGTGTGCCCTGCACCAGTGCACATCCCAGTGTTCGCAGTCTACAGGTGTGCGCTGCACAGTACCCAGCGTGGCATATATTCGCTTGATCGGGTTTCATTGAGCAGCACTTTATTAGCAAACTACGCCTGTGCTCCACCAAGCGGAAAAAATGTCGTGTGCTTGGATCAAGGGCATACATGCCACAGGTTCCACGTAGCCTGGAAATATCCCGGAGGTTTTCGATGACGTCCTTTTCTAGCATCATTATGATTGTGGCGATTAATGTGGGACGGAGGCCTACGCCACCAAAATGTTATATGGTGCAAGTTTACGCCCTGCAGTGCACGATCGCCATTTAGAAGAAGAACTGTTGTGGACTTGGAAATCCGATCGAGTGACCGGGGCCGGCGCCCTCAATGCGTACTCGCGGCTGCATGGCCAGCGCCCTGGAGCCGCTCGACTTCCGACCGGATTTCCATGTCCACAATAGTACACGGTTGTGCATGTACAAGGCAGATCCACAGCATGCACACATAGGTTTGACAGCTAGGTAGGAAAAAAAACCTCAAATTACATCTTCATGCCACCGAGAAGGAATTTAGGCCGATGACAGTTTGATTCAGGGATTTGTTCACAGCTTACTATCAAGTTTAAACTTTCAAGTGTGTGTAGTGATGGCTCCGCAAATACCCTAAATGACCACCCGTGTACGCTTGTAGTGAGTGCTCCAGGAGCTGGGCCAGAAAGCCGGCTAAGAGGGTGCCTGGACCTGGTTGAGATTGGGTTCTTTCGGTCTGTACGAGCATTGATCCGAATCCGAGCGGCTCAGAAGATGGTGCCAGGTGCAGCTGACACCCAATCCCAGAGCAGGAATAATACCTATCATACTTCATAGAGATATACCGGGATAGGTGTTATCCAACTTAGCCAGTCTTGCCTGGCGTTTGCCATATTCAAACATCTTAACCTACTGGTATGTCACATGATCTCATCTATAGGTACTCTGGATTGTTGTACAGTATCATGCTGGACAACAATTCGACTACACCGTTTGAATCTGGCATTACCAGTATACATGTACTCCTTGTTGTGTTCCTTACACGGCTACTGCCAAGTACTTGCCACCTCTCCACAGAGAGAGCCTCCAGAAGTTCTGATCTTACCTTCACACCCAAGGCCAAGACGCGCTTCACACCGATGACGGACGAGAGGTGATCGCTCAAACCGGGCACGGCACCGGCGCAGCAGGAGCGAGTGGCAGCCAGCGGTAGCAAGTGTTGGGTCAAGGTAGGCAGCGGACACGACCGGCAGACGAGCAGCAGAAGCAGCTGATCTTTCTCCAAGGCGCGCGTACACTGATTCACACCAGCAGCAAGGGCCTGGCGGATGGCATCAAGCTTTGCCGAGTCTTGAGTGCTTTCTGCTTGGCGGATGGCATTAAGCTTTGCCGAGTCTTGGGTGCTTTCTGCTTGCGTTGCTGACGCCTCCGTCTTGCGCGAATGAACCGGCTTCCGTCCTACATTACAACCACCTAGATACCTGGAAGAGGGCACAATAGTAGACCACAGCGTAACTGTTGAAGCTGACATCCACTGCTGTACAGTAGAGATAGATAGAACCTATATTTCATAGTGATATCAACTTGCCATGGACAACGCAGCATACATGTACCTAATTATTGAGAATAGTAATAACTATTCAAAGTGGATCACATCGCCAATATGGCCAAGGTAGCACAACAACCCAACATCATGGCAATGTCTGTGCTCACTTTGCAAGGGTAGACTTGATAGAGTCCACATCGCTGCCAGCTATCTCTGGCCTTGTGGCCGGCATATCCATAGAGACGGGCGACCGGGTGGCATACAAACGAACAAACAAACACACAGACACACCCATACTCACACACAGACATGCGCACGAACACACATGCACAATACACATGCAAAGAAACACACAGCACAGGAAAGCATTGTCTTATACATAGTGGCAATAATCAGTATCCTACAATATAATATAAGCAATCTGAGTTACAGTCGTCCCTCTCTAATCCGGCACTTTATAATCCAGCACCCTCGATAAACCAGCACAATTTTCAGTAGCCAAAATGTCCTCTTCATGCACATTGCAGCAGTAAATCAGATTTGTTAATCCAGCACCCTCCCTTATCCAGCAGATTTTCGTGGCACAAATGGTGCCGGATTATAGAGGGACCACTGTATCAGACTCCAATTGCATTGTCGTCTGATTAGCTACTAGTAACGTAAAGTACCGCCAGAGCGCCCCACCATCTCGTCCTTTCGTGGCCGCCTTGTGGAGGTGGATTCCTGTCTGTAGGTCATACGACACGGACCTTGTACAAACATTGCACATTGTGCAGTCAATCCGTACCCAGTTTACCTTCGAGCTCCACATAAAAGCATACCAAGTGTGACCTTAGTACACGAAGGTTCTCACATCGTACAAACTTAGTAGCACTCTGCCATACGATTTTCTTCCCTTGGCTGTAAAATCAAGGTGGGGCGCTCTCGCGAGACGGGGCGCTCTGGCGGTACTTTACGGTACATGTACAGCTGAGAATGCAGTTGAGTGGATGGGATGGCCGTATTTCCTGCATCTAGATATTACAAAATAACACAAATGCCTTGGGGGAGTTGCTTTGGCGAAACTCAACATAGGTAGTGTCATGCCAATACATCTGTATGCATCAAGGATGGAGCAACTCCCTATGGAAATGTGATAGCTAGCAACCAGATAGTCTGTCCTGTGATTGTCCATGGGGACATGATAGTCCTATAGTTGTTATTCATCCTGACACCTTGCTCAGAAATGCTTCCAAAGTCTCTTCTGCAGTTGATAAGTGCCCAGCACTTCAGATGTAGCACAACACTACCTGCCGTGTCTTGTATAAATGCCTGTTTTGAAATCAACCCAGATTTCCAAGATTCATCATCAGCACAAAGGCCCATTTTAGGGTTGATATACCTAGAAATGGGTGGCTTGAATACAAGCCTGATTTGAATAGAAGTCTAGCACTGACATCGGCTTCTACAGAAATAAACCCGCCGCAGATTAAAGTACTTCCAGTTTGTTAGTGCCATTCCCTGTATTGTCCCTGTTACAGTAGTGTACATCATGTATGGATGGATTTACTTCTTTTCAGTTCACTGGTACGAGGTACAGAATGAGTGCTGTTTGATAATCGCAGAGCATGAAGTAATGTCAGTACATTCATATACATCTGATGAGATGAAGCTCAAAAAGTCATTCATTAGAATTTAATTTTGATTTTTAAACATAACGTTGTAGTGGCAAACTTACCAGCTCAAGCTGAGAGGGGTCTTCAGAGAAGATTTGACAACTTTAGTGTGAGCTTTCCTCAGAGGTCCACCTCTACCACCGGGTGATGACATTATTATTATCACCAATGATCGTCAACACGACAGACACCATTTACTTGAGTTTGTCTTCTGATGAGTGATGCCTGATGGCTGGTGGGGCACAGTCGTTCTCAGCCACAAGTAGCTGGCGAGATGAAGAAAACGATGTCGTCCAAATATTTTGGGAACTTTGAGGATGAAGAGGGCATGCTCATGTTTTGCAAAAATAATGATCTGAGCATAATGATTGCGCCAAGAGGGATGTGCACCCGGTTTCTTCACGCCTACGTGTACGTGTAGCATGCACGCATGGCATGCAGTCGTTAGGTGCTGCTGTTCAATTTTTTTTGATTGCCTCGTGGATTTGATGAGGGAGAAGTGGTTCTTTCTGCTTCTCGTTGTCAATTTATTTCATGGCATGGGTTAGTTGTGGTACTGTCCCACATCGTGCCGTGGTACGTGCACTCCAGTGCGTGTAGTAAGCCATCAGTTGTTCGTGATTTCCAACTCCTCAAGCCAAGAGACTGCCTTCCATCATGGAGTATACGAGGAAGACCACTGTCATTCTTTTGATAGGTCTCTGTCTTGCTGCAGTGTATGGACACCCATCGTTGGAAGCAGGTCAGAGGTTGCTTGGAGTAAGAGAATGGCGGTTCGATGGTGAAGTGGATGAATCTACAGTGTCCTGCGTGCACGGCCATTACCCCCCTCCATTCTGTACAGCAACCAATGTTGCTTTGAAGCATGACACGAAGCACTTTATAGTGTACTCTAAGGATGCTGATGTGGAGTTTGCTAATCAATATCTCTTCCGGGTGTCAGCGGAGCCCAGGGACAATTTCCCAGAGTGTCACCAAACCATTGAAGAGGCATATGTTTTCACATTCTACTTCTACCACGGACATTCTAACTACTTCCACCTGCACAAGGACACGCTGTTCCCCATATTCTTGCTGTTGCGCCAGAGAACGAGTGACACACCGGTTGTTCTCATGCCCGTGGTTGAGCTGAGAAGAATGGCAGAGGTTGACTGGGACAGCGGTGCTTTCAGCGAGAAGCACCTTGACAAATATTTCATTCAGACTCTGAAGGTAGGCCACAGTGCATGCCGATCTGATGTGCTGGCTGGCTATAGAGGTTATGCGAATGATTTCATGGCGGATTTTCTATTGGGTGCTAAGTATGCAGCGTGAGTCGCTAGTGCAAGTGCAGCGCTGTGCCGCAAGTCCGCGACTTCACCAAAAGCATCTCAACTGATGATGTAATCTCATACAGTATCTCTATTGGGTTGCAGGGCGATGAAACGGTGCTCTTTATTATGCAGTGCATATCAAAAATCAACGACACATGAACCTGCATGAGGGTCCTGAAGGGACTTCTAGCTTAATCTCGAACTGGGATTTTTGAACGTGTGAAGTACTCTGTAGAATTTCACAGGGTACGATCATGCGAGCAGTGTAGCATATGTATGCACCGTGCACGGCACAGGCATCGAAACCCTCCCAGGACATCGTTGACCAGTTCAAAATGCGGGAACTCGAAAGACACCCGATGACGCGGATAAAGCTCCCCATCACGCAGCACAGTTTTGGGATGAGGGAGGGGGAGGGGGACTACAAGAGGTGCAATGTAATTGAGCCGTGATCAGCAAAAACAGACCTACCGTATATTCTCTATTATAAGCGCCGTGCTTATATTTTTTCAACACCCCTCTACCCCGTGCTTATATTGGAGACCGCGCTTATATTGGAGACCGTGCTTATATTTTTTCAACCAATACATCCATACAGAGCAAGAAGAAATACATGCTAGATATCATGCATGCAGCATTGATTCCACCAAGACCGTGCTAATAATAGAGACTGTGCTTATAATGTTTCGAAGGGTGCTCACAGTGTGCTTGTATTAGAGACTGTGCTAGTAATGGAGACCTGTGCTTATAATAGAGAATATACGGTATAGGTCACATTTTTCAAAATGGTTTTTTTGCTGGAAATTGTTTGCTTGTATACAAACGAACTATTTCCAGCAAAAATAACATTCTGAAAAATTTCACCTGTAGGTCTGTTTTTGCTGATCACGGCTCAATTGTAATTTGTTGCTCTTACCGCAGCAGTGTTACAATACCGTATGTTCTCTTCTGAACTGTGAACATATGTTGTGTGAATGCTCATCGCTTCAGACCCTTGCAGGCACCGACAATGCTATATTGCCGCTGGACTCAGATTTGATCAAGGCCTCTCCTCATGGACACACCTGCTTTCGAAAGGCCTTTATTGGTGTAAGTGAACCCATGGCGCAATTGCTGCCCAGTCACAGCTTCTCATATTGCTTCTTTGTACTGTGCATGTACAGTCCTGCTGGAGTTGGTGGTGGGAAACTTTATTTTATTTTAAAGAAAGCGGATCACGTATCAACCTTGCGGAGTAGATGAAAGTCGTGCATGTTGGAGAACATGCACTCCACGCCGGCTTACGGCCAGTTCACTCACAACACCACAGAGCTTCCAAGGAAATTAGTTATTCTTCTAGATGGAAAATGAGAAACGTCTGTTATCACCACAAGTTGGAACTAACTCCACGCCAAGATCAAACGGAAGCTAAGCCAGAAAAAGAACCATGGCCAGCTTGCCAAAAGTAACGCGTAGCAAGCGTGCACGCAAGCACACTCCATACATAAGTCAGGATGCACACAAAAGCTACAAACTCGGAATAAGGGCAGCGCAGACCACGCCGAAACCGCAACTAGAAGATTGACCGCTGACAGGTCAATCAGTGAATGGAAAAGCATGCACCACCGCACGGACGCGCACTCACTAACCTACAATCAATACACGGAAAATGGCATCACGCAGAAGGTATACCAAGCAGAGCATGCACAAGTAACAATACAGTTCCAGCCAGTGGCTGCCACGTTACCATAAACTACAACATCTCCCTCCCTGGTAACATCACCTTAAAAAGACAATAATAGGCAAGCACATCGAAAGAAGCAAAGAGAAACGAAAGGACATGAAAGTTCTGCGAACCATCACCAGCTACTAGTTCTCAGTCGTATCTCACTGGAGCCCTGATACCAGCTCTGTTCCGGAGCACATATCTTGGCTCTTCAGCTCTAGGCACACCTGCGACTAGCTCACCGGGCTCTAGCCGCATCGGGTAACCACCGTCATCCTCGCTCGCATCATCTGGCTGAGGCGGCTCAGGCAGGTCTACAGTAGGATTGGCTGCGGCACGCTTCAGCAGCTCTACGTTGACGATCTTCTCCACCCTGGGGTCTTCCACTTTCTGAACGACTACAGTCGACTCCGACAACACCTTCTTGACTCTCCAGCCAAGCTGAAACTTCGGGAGGCGTTTCTGCGCGCGGCTGGTCATCTTCATCATCACCACGTCACCAGGCCCGTAACAGCAACTTGCTTTGTCGGCGTCTTCTTGGGAATCAGCTGACGCCATTTCTTCATCGATCAAATCACGAATGGCAGCTGCTTGACGCTGCAGCTCAGCCGTCCATGCTGGCAAGGTGTACAGGGGCTGTTGGGCCTCTACAACAAGACCACGGGGCTGCCAACCAGTCATCGCTAGCTGAGGCGAAACTCCCGTTGCTCCATGCGGTCGGACGCGATAGAAGTACAGCAGCATTGACAGGTCGGTCTTCCAGTCGTTGGACTGCGAGTGTACTTTGCGAATCAGAGTCAACAGGGTCCGGTTGAATCTCTCCACGCTTCCTTGTGACTGAGGGTGTCGCACTGCACCGTGCTTGACTTCCACTCCAAACGCCAAGTACAAGGCGTCCATGACAGCATTGACGAACTCTGTTCCGTTGTCTGATCTGACCACCTCCGGCGGACCCCATCGGCAGCACACAGACACAAACGCCTCGGCAACTGACTTAGCGTCATGGTGCTTCAAAGGTATCACCTCCACATAGCGCGTGAACATATCCGTACACACCAAGACGCAATGGAACCCAGCTCGGCTCGGTCCTAGCTCCAAGGTATCAATCGCCACAACTTGCCATGGGCGCGCCGGCACTTCGGGACGTGTCGGCGAAGCATGACCACCAGCAGCAGGGTTTGCAGCGGCACAACTGTCGCAAAGACCGACGAACTCCTGGCACTTCCTTGCCATCCCAGGAAGGTAGCACTGCTGACGCATCATCTCATGGACCACCTCCCATGATCCGTGGCCAGTGTTCTCATGGGCGATTCGGAGGGCATCTTGCTCTAGCAAGCTCGGAATCACGGGCACCTCGCATGCTTCATTGGCAGGCGGCAACTTGATTGACCGATACAGCACGCCATCCCGCACTCTCAGCTGTGGTGCCACCTTCTGAAACTGCTTCGCCCTAACTGTCTGCATACCGTTGACATCCTCCACCGTCTGCTGGATGGCAGTATCTGCTCCCTGCTGGTCCCGGATGATGTCGAAGGCAAGTGGGGCAGAACTGTGGACACCTGCACACGCACTGCTCTGGGTCGCCGCCGCAACCACCGGTGACTCGGGCATCTTGAGCCAGGATGCCGGCACACGGGTCAGACGGTCAGCCAGGTTTTTCTGTGAAGGCACCCACTCGACAGATATCTTCAACTTGTAAACCTCGACCAAGTCGTCAATCAGCTGCAATCTACGCTCTACAAGAGCTCTGTAGAGGCCATTCACCTTCACTCGCTGGATGTTGCCCAAGAGAGACTTTAGCCATCCATGCACCGTCTTCGAATCGGTCATGACTCGAACGTTGGCCACTCTGTGATCCACGACAGCAGACAAGCCACGAAGGACGGCGTCTAACTCGGCAACGTTGATGTGCCGCTTGTCTGACTTAGGCCTGAGCCAACAGTGATCCTCAATCACGGAGCCATCTTCGCTGATGACAACACCTAGCGCCAGGTTGGATGCATCGCACCATAGGGACACGCCACCAGTCGACTTGACTGTCCACTTGCCGTTGACGGGATCCTCTCGTGAAACTTGATCCTCCACCGCACGACACAACTTCTCGAGCGCAGCTGAGACAGGCTTATCCCAAACCGCAGCATCTTCACAGCTCACTCGCTTGATGTAGCTACAGCACGGTCGCAGCCACGATGCAACAGGGTAATGACTCGTCAATCGACCGCACCAGGAGAACACTTCTCGCTTCGTCGGCTGCTCTGGCAACGTCAGATCCATGCCATCACGGCGACGCCACATCACGTCTTCACTCGACGTAGCAACCGATAGTTGCATGCCAAGCACCCTTGCGCCGGCAAGTACCTCTGGTGGCTTCGTCGGTAATCCGTACCGACTCAGCGCCGCAGTCACCTCCGGAAGTTGTTCGGACGGAGCAACGACATCGTCGACATAGTTGTCTGCATCAGGAAAGTCGCACAGCGCAAACTTCACGATGGCGTCCATGACTTTCGGAGCTATGCTGAGACCAAATGCCATTCGTTCCATGACATACGTGACTCCATTGAATACCACGGTCTGATACCGAACGAGGCTGGGGTCGACGTGAACTTGTAAAAACGCCTTCTTGATATCGACGACTACCTGGTCACCGCCACGGCGTCTCCACTCCCTGATCTTCTGGTCGCATGCAGGCGCGTCGCCTCCAGGATGGGAAAGAATCGCCTCATTCAAACGACGGTAGTCTAAGCAGGGACGTACAGGCGTAGACGCCTTGTGTCCTTGACACACAGCCATTAGAGGGAGGATCGCACCTGACTTGCCGTGTCGATCTGGATCATGGGGCACCATCCAACCATGGTCGATCCACGACTGCACCTCCTTCTGGTACTGTTGCTCCTGCTCTGCAGAGAGCTTCTTCCGTGAGTACTGTGTCACTCCGGAGCCAATGCTATCAGTCGGCTCTACACCACCTCCCCAGACCCAGGCGACGGTCCACGACTTTGCACTATTGTCCCAGCGCACCTTGAAATCGGCTGAACTGAGGGTGACACCATCCGAATCTCGCTCAACAGAGATGTGCCTCGAGAGCTTCTGCTTCGGCGCTCGTTCAGCATGGCCAGCTGCGGCAGCCGCTACATCGGGCCCTTTTCCGAACCGAATAGCACTCGCCGAGCCATTCTGGTAGCGTATCTCAAGACCACCAGCCGCGCTGGCAACGTCATTGCCAAGAATCAGGTCAGCATCCACTCCCTCATGCTTTGAAACTACCAGGAAGTCCACGCACAGTTCCGGAAGCTGAACTATATCATCATGTTGCTGGACAGTCGCAGCAACAGATCCAACTGACTCCAGGGACGTGCCGTCGATGCCGACCACCCAGTCAGTTGTCGATTCCACCTGATCAGCCAGGCCCACGGCAGTTACTACACTCTCTTTCATCAGAGATCGCGTGCATCCAGTATCCACAACCGCTGCGACTGATATCCAAGAGTCATCATGGCCCTTAACACACACATCAACTTTCAGCAGCTTAGAGCTCTGCCCACCAGTTGATATTGGGATTCCGTCAGCATCAGTAGACACTCCAGCCTGACAATGCCCAGCACTCACAGCCACTGAAGCAGACTCAGTCTTGGCCTTTGGACAATTTCGCCTGATGTGGCCATACTCTTTGCAAGAGTAACACTGTGGCCCTCGTGACTTGCCAGTGGTGTGGCTGTTGCCCTTGGCCTTAGGGCAATTCCTTCTTACATGACCAGGCTCCTTACATGAATAGCACTTGACAGCTGCAGCCACGGACTTCCCTCCACTGACACTTATAGTATCATCGACGGACATAGCCCTGACACGTTTGATCATATCGGTAAGAGTCATGCTACCGCTAGAGCACTGGATTCTCACCTCTCTGGCGAAGTCTCTGGGCAAGCCCCCAACAAACTGTTCTAACAGCATCGGATCTTTGTCGTCCGCAATGTTGTGACCAGAGCTCTTCAACAGCCTCTTTAGCTCCGCCGCATACTCGTCTACTGACTCTGTGGATCCCATGGAACGCGCTTTGAACAAGCGGTAACACTCCGCAGCAGAAGGAGCAAAGGCTTCAGTCAACACCTTCTTCACCTCGTCAGGTTTCTCCTTGTCCGAGTCGGGCATGGCGTTGAATACAGTATACGCAGCCTTATCCAAGAGCAACGGCAAGTTTGCCATCTGCTCTTTGCCCGTATCCCACTTGTGGGATTTCGCCAGGATCATAAACTTTGACCAGAATACATCTAGGTCGTCACCTCGCCCTCGGTACGGACGCATAAATCCATCCAACTTCACAGACATTTTATTCTCATGAACAAACACTAAGACTTTCTATTTCCTTCCGACTCCACAAAAGTCCTACTCTGCAACACGTTGTCCCGGGTTTCGGCACCAAAAGCTGTTGGAGAACATGCACTCCACGCCGGCTTACGGCCAGTTCACTCACAACACCACAGAGCTTCCAAGGAAATTAGTTATTCTTCTAGATGGAAAATGAGAAACGTCTGTTATCACCACAAGTTGGAACTAACTCCACGCCAAGATCAAACGGAAGCTAAGCCAGAAAAAGAACCATGGCCAGCTTGCCAAAAGTAACGCGTAGCAAGCGTGCACGCAAGCACACTCCATACATAAGTCAGGATGCACACAAAAGCTACAAACTCGGAATAAGGGCAGCGCAGACCACGCCGAAACCGCAACTAGAAGATTGACCGCTGACAGGTCAATCAGTGAATGGAAAAGCATGCACCACCGCACGGACGCGCACTCACTAACCTACAATCAATACACGGAAAATGGCATCACGCAGAAGGTATACCAAGCAGAGCATGCACAAGTAACAATACAGTTCCAGCCAGTGGCTGCCACGTTACCATAAACTACAACATGCATTTCATGTACCGGTGTCATTTTTCCACTTGTTTGAAATTATTTGTACATTGCTCAGAGAGACAAAAATGCAAGTGTACCCAGGGCTTCATTGTCAATTTCAGGCACCTGGCGCTAATGATAATATCATCATATTATGATGAGTTCACTTGTAACTCCAGAACTATTCATATTGTAAGTAATCTGTCAACAACACCGAGCCACAATTTTCGTTCCTCCGCAAAAAAACGGAGCTCCGCCCAGAGACAGAAATGATATTCATATGGGTGATACAGTAAAGCTGTGTTGCCAACTGGCGCGTGGACGCAGTACGCTTGCGGTTCATGCGTGCCCAAACGCGCGCTCAGGCTTTCACAAAAACAGCAATTCGACTCGTATTTAGGGCGTGTGACGCCTTCGAGTACTATTTTTTTTGGCCCCGCCAGTGAAAGTGACTGGCATGTACGCTGGTACGCACCTCAGTGATACGCGCTGAAAATTCCAACATGTTGGAATTTCCATTTCGGCGCGTTTCCGTACGTATGTCGCTCCAAAAGCCAGCAATACACGCACAAACGCGTGGTTTCACGCGTACACGCACCAGTTGTGAGCACAGCTTAACTAATACTTGTGCATTCTCGTTGTACTTATGGCGACTTGAAAGTACGATAACACAAATTTCCAAGCTTTTGAGGTCCGTAAGTACAACAAAATGCATAAGCATCCCTATTAGAATATCATATTCAGTCACACTCTGTAGACACTGGACTGTGTTGTCTATTTGCTGTTATGTGACGGCAACAGGCACCATCTCTTCGCTCAGTTGAAAGAAGCCCTTCTTTCATGAGTGACTTTGTTGAGTTCATGATGGCACGGCTTGATGTACAGCCAGGTCATCCAGGCACACCGCTTGTCGGAATCATCAAACGGTAGGCCATTGTGAATGTGACAGCAGCAGCAGCAGCAGCAGCATACCATGTACTGAGTACTAGTACATTAGCGTATTTCCGGGGTATAAAGCCTCACTTTCAACTAGGGGTGAAACGATTAAGGGATATTCCTTAACGGTTAATCCAAAACTTATCGATTGCTTATCGATTATTATCGATTAAACCATTTTGCATCAACTACAATCAATTTTGAAACTTCAAAGAGAACAAAAATATTGGAAACATCGACCGTCGCACAGGCACAAACTGATTCTGAAGGCTACTTGTCCAGAACAGTGAGTTCCGTGAAGCAACCAGAACGAAAGTTCGCGGGTACGAATCAGTGCGCGGTGCAGAGAAAAGAGCCGCGTGTCACACAATAGATCTAGAGTACTCTAGATCTATTGTGGGACACGCGGCTCTTTTCTCTGCACCGCGCATCGACTCTTACTCTGGTACATGTGCTGCACGCAGTAGAGTCATGTAGACACACTGCACCTGCCGGATATTTCGTCGTACCATATAGTATGTCGTACGAAAATGCTGTAGCGAATAGAAAAATCGTAATCGACTAGATTTTTTCGACTAATTAATCGACTAAACCACAAAATCCTTTCACCCCTACTTTCAACACCAGTAACTCACCCCCAAAAAAGTCATTGCGGCTTATGCTACGCTGGTGGAATTAATGGTGATAAATGGGGTAGATATCAGTATTTCGTGATAAAAATCTGGGTGGGACTTGTACTCCAGTGCGGCTTATGTACTCCGGAAAATACGGTATTGTTGGAAACAGTCATAAGCATAAGTTAGGTATTTGTAGTCGGTCAGGGTGATGAGGGAATATGTGCACTGTGATACTGTAACTGTGCCATTTTCATCTCCTGATTTTTCACAATTCAGATAAGTATCTTGTCTAGCCGTCTTATCTTCTTGGTCCGTCTTGACCGTATTCCTTCCTTTCCCCAAGTATTTGTACTTGTGTATGTCTGTCCCTGTCTGTCCCTATTGCCCCCTATCCTTGATGGCTAAAGTACTGATCTTTGGTCAACATGTTGCCTGTGTCTGCTATCCTTGGCCCATGTACAGAGCTGGCCGTCGTAAGATTCTGAACGAGGACGAGTTGGTCACTGCCTGCAGTAGATTTGTACAGACGGAGCTGGTTGAGTTTAGTGGCATGTCCGTCCGCGAGCAGGTGTCAGCCGTGCAGAAATACACCGTGCTGGTGGGAATGAACGGTGCTGGGTTCATGAATGCCATATATCTACCCAAGGGAGCTGTGTCGATTCAACTGGCCCCGTACAATGCCACACAGGTAAGTTCAACTTATTGTCATAATCAGGAGCTTCTTCCTTTGGGAGCAATACAAACGGGGGATGTAGTTTTGAAATAGTATATGGATGCAGTGAATTGATTTCAGCATTTGATCTCGCTATGGGTGGGGGATCTGATCGATTCATCTTTGGAGCACGCATTGATGATTATGGGAAATGTTGTACGTAGCCTAGCAGTGGGGCAGGCAGTCAGTCATAGTTCAGACACAGTAAGGAGAATAATCACCACTACAGTCAAACCTTGCTTATCCGGTCCTCTTTTATCCGGATCCCTCGCCATCCGGAAGAAAATCACCGGTTACCGATTTACAGCATATATCATGCATACATACAGTACGTGTGTTCGATTATCCGGTTCCCTCGCCTATTCGGATATTTTTGTGGAAAACGAATGTGTGCGGTTTTAAGCGAGGTCTGACTGTATTAAGAGAGGTCCCAGGCAGACCAGTAATCCAAGGCAAGGCCTGCGCACTGTGTACTACTAGCATCTGTACCCGTTCGGTCTTGCTAATCTTCTCCAGTGTTCCCAGTACCTTTTCTTCCTTTCTTTGTCTTGCACGTGCAGTCTTGAAAGTGTCCTGCCAATGCGTTACTGCTCCCGTGTTAATGCTGTCTCTTGTTTACTGTTGCGTATGTTTCAGCTTAATGTCAAGGAGTTCGGCGAGATTGTTGGATCGCGGGGCCCGTACCTGTTTTGGCGGAATGAACACAGTGATTTAACTCGCCCAGTACCTGGTGATGTCTTCAATAGCCAAGCAAATACGCTGGTGCACGTCAGCGAATTTGAAGCCCTGGTGCAGCAAGCACTGGCCCTGGGTGTGAACAAAGACTTATGGACACCGGAAAGTGAAAGGAAAACTGAACTCTGATTTTGGAAATGGAAAACTGAGCATGATCATGGCAAGAATACCATAGTTAAATGGACAGCTACGTAATTATTTCAATCCGCAGACCACTTTCTTAAAATGGTATTTTGGAATACACTAAGTTAAAGCCATAATTGCCCTCAGCTTGTCAAATGTATGGGCCAATGTTTACTGGCAATGCTTTTGGTAATCAACTTAATCCCACCTTGCCTACGTGTTTCAAGTTTAAAAGGTAAGTCAATGGTCTCTGGTTTGCTTGAATCATTCTTGACTTGATTACATCCTTGAATCTTGCTCAATGCTCCATGCTGCGAACGCCTGGCTAACTGGTCCGGTCAATGACGTCCTGTCAGAACAACTTCGAAGGGACCAGACTGCCAGCCATAGCGAGCAAAGTCGCGTGCATTTTAAAAGAAGATACCTCGGTGAGTTATAGATAGCAAGCTGGATGTTTGGCACCGTCGCGCGCTCAGATATCCTTGGCATTGTTTATCCTACATGGATTTGAATAATACTCCTCGCACTAACATTGAACTATAGTTATAATACCCAATGAGAGTAGTCTCTTGACATCACTGGAAGATGCACCCAGGTGCTGACAGTGCTCAACACTGCGGAGGCAGAGCATAATACACGGAACAACAAGAGCAATCATGGCTTGTTTGTCGCTACTCAAAGTTTCATGCTTTCACAATCATCAGGCAACATGAGGATGGTACTGGCCATGCTGGTATATATGCCAGGAGAGGGTGGGTCTTGTAGCGCTGTGTGGAAAGCTGTGTGTGAATGTGGGGGCTGTATAGGTTCCAGGGCTAGCGGTGTTATTTTAGGCAGGAGGCTGTGTGCAGAGTGTGCAGTTGTTGTAGGCAGGTTGTAGATGCAGTGGCAGGGCCAGCAGTGCAATGTTAGCGCAGAATGTGTGGCTGGTGTGGGCAGGAGGCTGTAGATGTAATGGCAGAGCTAGCAGTGTGATGTTAGCGCACAGTACATGTATATGGCTGGTGTGAGCAAGGTGTGTAGTTGGTGTAGGCAGGAGGCTGTGGAGACATTTTCGGTGACACCGTGGTATTTGAGGGGATACTTGTTCTCTTGACATCAAACAGTTATCATGGTTGGGACATGTTGTCTGTGATGGGCAGGACTCTGTGCTCTACAATACCCTCAGGCACTAAGAGGCTCAGACGCCAACCTTTGACCAGATACATGTAGGTAGACTAGTATTAGGAATGACCTTTCATTTATCAACATTTGAATTTTCTCTTTTGGAAGATGAGCAGTTTGCCTCAGATAGAGCATGCTGGCCTGATGTTCTCGGCAGATACATGACCCTCTTTTGAGTTTTCACTAGGAGCAATACACATATGCGTGCTGTATTGCTGCACAGCGGCCCACGAAAAGCTGTAGACAGCTCTGGACAGTTCTCTTCGCCCACGTCGGTCCTTGTCCAGCTACTGCAGCCGGTTCACAGATCACAGCCAGTCCCAAGGGCAGCATTATTTTACTATAGCTAATCTGCACTCCACAACACAAAGGAGCACAGCAAGCATGATATTACGTTCTCACTTTCCCAGCACTGTATGCATGCATCCACGATGAACACACGAGGTAGTTGGGCTAGCTCAACGCCGCCTGATGTTTCGAGATGAGCACGGGATAGGGAGGATATGGGTATGGATCCGTGCCATGGCTCAACGTCCAGAGCATCCTGGATAATGGTTATCAGTAGTGTCTGGATAATGGTTATCAGTAGTGTCTGGATAATGGTTATCAGTAGTGTCTGGATAATGGTTATCAGTAGTGTCTGGATAATGGTTATCAGTAGTGTCTGAATAATGGTTATCAGTAGTGTCTGAATAATGGTTATCAGTAGTGTCTGGATAATGGTTATCAGTAGTGTCTGAATAATGGTTATCAGTAGTGTCTGGATAATGGTTATCAGTAGTGTCTGGATAATGGTTATCAGTAGTGTCTGGATAATGGTTATCAGTAGTGTCTGGATAATGGTTATCAGTAGTGTCTGGATAATGGTTATCAGTAGTGTCTGGATAATGGTTATCAGTAGTGTCTGGATAATGGTTATCAGTAGTGTCTGAATAATGGTTATCAGTAGTGTCTGGATAATGGTTATCAGTAGTGTCTGGATAATGGTTATCAGTAGTGTCTGGATAATGGTTATCAGTAGTGTCTGGATAATGGTTATCAGTAGTGTCTGGATAATGGTTATCAGTAGTGTCTGGATAATGGTTATCAGTAGTGTCTGGATAATGGTTATCAGTAGTGTCTGGATAATGGTTATCAGTAGTGTCTGGATAATGGTTATCAGTAGTGTCTGGATAATGGTTATCAGTAGTGTCTGGACAATCACTCCATCCTATCATGTACTGCACAAGCAAAGTCACACTTGTCCCCATCTGAACATGCATGTACATCTACTCTACCAACCCTCAGTTATTCATGCAGTTTACAGCGGACACTATAAACTGAAGTATAACGCCTGACTAAGGAAGTACAGGAAAGGGTTTGCTCCCCACACTGGAGCTCGCGCTATTCCGTCGACTTGACTTGACACTTGACTGACTCACGACTGCCATCCAGAGCACACGAGAAGTCCATCAAACCTTCGACTCGGCAAACCTGCAAGAAAGCACCACTCCCTGCTCAATACACAGTGTTTCGGGGATTCACCCCTCATCAGTGTCAAGTCAAGTTGGTGGAATCGCGCGAGCTCTAATGTGGGGAGCAAACCGGCATAAAAAAAATCACGGTTCGCGTAAGACTCGGCTGGAAGTAGAGTTTTCCGCATCCGCCGTGGGAACGCCACCACCCTCTTGGATCAAACCGGCATATGTATTGTCATATTTGGGCAGGTCCAAACTTCTTCTTTTCTTCTTCTTTTTTCTTACAAGATGTAGTCTAGGCTTTTATCGTTATCACTTCCCAGGCTGGTCTGGCATCAAAGCATGTTTGTTTAGAAAGTGTGGGGTTTAGCAACCTCACATGGGCACCATTCTCCAAGTACATGACTGTATGCTGTAACACCCTCATCAGCTGAAATTTTTAAATTAATATTTGATTATATTTCAGCTGATGAGTGTGTTTATATACAGCATACTTTTTTTACTTGTACATTTTGCATGTGCAAGATCTTTGAAGCTCCATTGTAGCCATGTCATAGTTGCAGAAGGATTCACCAATCACTCTCCACCAGTTCGTGCTTACATGTACACTAGTACCAACATATTTTTTCACCTTATAGTTATACCTTATAGTTATACCTTATAGTTATACCATCAGGGCAAGGCTTTATGGTGGAAATTTGTGTGTGTGGGGGGGGGGGGGGGGAGTGTACTGATGCAGTGTAGCCGAGGACTGGTGAAAGGTGTGCAGCAATCCTTCTGCTACCATGGTTACATGTGTAAGTCACCGGTACGATGCTGCCCAATAAAATCCGACCGAGCGAGTCAATGCCACGCCTGGTGCTGCGCAGCCCTGGACTGCCTGCGGACACTACGCGAGATGGTGAACTGGGTGCAAGGTGCACAGCGGACTCACCTGTGCATGTACATGATTGTATTTATTTGTATTGCTACACGTCTATGAGCATGTTTAGGATGCTGCTGTCCTGCTACATGTACCGGCGTCAGTGAAACCTGTCTTAGGTGACCGACCACTCAAGGGACCTTACACATTTGTCATGTTAGACTTAAGATACTTAGTTCAAATAACACCCCTGGGTCCTCCATGTAATTAATTCAGTCCTGTGGTATCAGGTTGGTCGCCTTGACAGGCGTTACTGTACTTACTGTAGTAGCTAAATAAAGTATGTTTATACTACTTTGCAGTTTGCATATTTGTATTGAGTTTAATATCGGATTGATATTGATTTGCCAGTGAATCCTTCTGATGAGATGGGCTCGAAAGCGTTAAATGAATATACCGGCATGACAAGTAGTTTTTGCTAATGGTGTTTGTGCTGAGAACACAACTCACTCTATTCATTGCGTTGCATGTACATGTATAAATTCTAAAAAAGAGTGCCAATATGTGGTGGCAGTGAGTGAAGGTTCTGAATACAGGTATTTGTGTAACATGTTGTTGGTTGACAGCATGTAACAAGGTGGAGGACCACCGTGTTCGGAAACAGTGACCTTTCTACAACCATCCACGGTTGGTAGAGTCCCGGTTGGCTGCGACCATCTGCACCGTATGTGTGTTAGACCCGGTTCTGACCCTCTGTATTCTAGGGGAGTTGTCTTAGACTTCTTGAACCATCAGTCGTGTATTCTTTGTTCGCTCCTGGATGTCAATTCAGAACAAAAGCTACTAAGTTTATGAAGACTGAGTATCAAGAGGACATCCAGGAGCGAACAACGTCTGACGGTTCAAGAAGTCTAAGACAACTCCCCTAGAATACAGAGGGTCAGAACCTGGTCTAACACACATACGGCCAGTGCAGAGTGCAGATGGTCGCAGCCAACCGGGACTCTACCAACCGTGGGTGGTTGTAGAAAGGTCATTGTTTCCGAACATGGTGTCCTCCACCTTGTTACATACTGTCAACCAACACACCATGTTTCAACAAAACAAGGTTTATCTAATACCATAGGTGTTAAATTCAAATGGTGAACGGCACTATTCGGCTGTGAGAGCGCATGGAGGAGAGGAGAGGAAGAGTTCTTTACCATAGGTGTTGTACCCTATAGGCTATAGTGTTGCCCACTGTACATGTAGGAGTACCTACAGCATTATTTACAGCATTATTTACAGCATTATTACAGCATTATTTACAGCATTATTTACAGCATTATTTACAGCATTATTTACAGCATTATTTACAGCATTATTTACATGACATTTGTACACAAGCTACCTCACAATGCATTGGCGGGACACTTTGTATTGTTGCTACTCGGAGTTGCATTTCGCAGCTGATATGCATATTAGTAAATAAGCTCCCTGGGTAGAGGTAAAGTGGATATGAAGACCTACAAGTACAACTACATGTAAGAGTACTGACTCTGTATACTGAGACAGTGCTTCTGTGTTACTGTGAACCAGGGAGTCGTGTATATACCACTCCCTGCTGTGGACTGTCTACGCTGGTAGATCTACCATCAAGAAACCATGATTGATAACGTGACCTACACTCTACTGCTTATTAATATTAGTACCATACATAGGCGTCTTGTCTCTTGAACTGTTACTTTGTTGAGGTATTGCCTTGGTTGTGCCTAACTATTATAATTATTACGTGTTACTCGTGGTACGCCTGATATCGATACGGAGCAGCACTGCCACTGCACTAGCGACTACATGTAGGGCTGTTGGTACATGATGTACATGATTGACTGTACTATTAGATAATCCAATACTAGTCACAGTACTAACAACAACATTAGTTAGTTCTCAGTGGTACTGGTGGGGGACAACCAACGTTACGTGTAGTCGGGGTGTTCCGACGTGGTGAAGGCCTACGGTGACACCCATGGTCGCATCGGGACATCACCAACCTCGTCTACAGAGAGCACCTTCTCACGATAGTGTCATGGTGGTGACAGTAACTGTTGTCAGCTGACGAGCTGGGAGAGGGACGCCATGGGCAGAAGGAAGTTGGAAGAAAAAAAGGAGTTAGGAAAACAATTCAAGTTAGACTAACTTCTTTTATTTAATATGACTATCAGGACAACATCCAGGAGCGACTGACGTTAGCTTTAGGGGAGAAGTCTAAAAACTCCCCTAGCATAATGAGGGTCAGAACCGGGTGCAACACCTAACCCATACGATTCAGATTAGGGCTCAAACGGTCACGGTTTTACCCGTAACGGTTAACTGCTAAGCTAACGGTCGGTTTAACGGTTACAGTCGACCTACCCTTATAACGATAACCTCTATAACGATAATTACCCTTATAAGTTATAACGATATTTTTCTGCCAAACCAAATCACTCCATTGACTTGTGTATACAATGCCTTACCTCTATAACAATATTATTGCTATAACGATATTACCCCTATAACGATATAAAATGGGCTGACCAATCGACATTTTCCATTTTATAACAATATCTAGCAGGGAATATGTAGAGCCCACTATCCAGTTAACAAGCTTCACTTGATAAATCGCTGGGACATGACGAAATGCAATGGGGGCACCAGTGGGCACCTAGTACCTTGCTGTGTACATAATGTGCATGTACGTCAGTTTTTATGCTACGAAGGGTGTAAAAAATGAACAAAATCCATGCATTATGACGTATGTGTATGAAATGAACCAGTTACCCCTATACCGTAGAATCCCGCGGATAAGCCCACCCGCGTATAAGCCCATGCCCGCGCATAAGCCCAGGGTTTGTTCGAACATCACAAAGCTTCATCGTACAAGCCCATGGGCCTAGGTCACACCGAGAGTCCATAAATTATGGACTCTTGGCCATACCATGTACGTAGTACATGCACATTAATTATTTTTTTAGTACATTTCAGCACAATCATCGGTTGTTTTTGTTTGCACAGTGGTTTTTAGCATGTATTTCTCACTTCCTTGATACTTTTCAATAGCACAACTTGGTGTCGGCGTATAAGCCCATGCCCGCGTATAAGCCCATGTTCTCGTATAAGCCCACCGAAAAGTCCTTGTGAAACAGATAAGCCCATGGGCTTATCCGCGGGATTCTACGGTAACAACATTACCCTTATAACAATATTTCTTGGTCTGCCGCAAATATCGTTATAAGGGTAGGTCGACCTAGAGTTTATGTACTCTTGTACTCTTGTTATAACCTCTAAGCCACGGCAAACCTGCGGACTCTTTTTTAACCGTACATTTGACTATACTCATTCAAAAAATGTACCCTATTCAGTACAACGCACACATGTACATTCTCTTGCATGCTCATTCAGTCATACTCTCACACCAAGAGACCACTGACCAGATATGACCGAGTTGACAGCCCAGGCCTACGCGTGCGACAGCCTGCGAAAGTGCATACTTTGCAACGACCTGATACTTGACAAATAATTGACTGAAAAGTTACTGCGTAGCCGTTATCTTTATCGGTTAACCGTTAATTCTTCGTAACCGGTCTGCAACCGGTTAATCGGACTAATCGTTTGAGCCCTAGTTCAGATGTTCCCAACGGACCGAGGTTCTACCAACCGTGGATGGTTGTAGTAAGGTCACTGTTTCCGAACACGATGTTCTCCACCTTGTTCATGCTGTCAAACTAACAAACATGATTGTACTAGTACTTGAACAACAGTTACTGTTACTAGTTACTACAGAACAGTTGTTATAAAAGAGAGTACGTAACCACAGTAGAGGTATTCACGTCTTTTGCTGTTACTAGAAACCTCCGATAGATCCGGTGTAACCCGCGTCAGTGACTTGACATTTTCCGGACCGACACGATTACCATGTGGCATGTCCATGATAACCGAGGGTATAGTCAGTACCATGCATGGTATACCGGGTAGCTGCGATGTCGCACACTCTTTACCGTGCGCTAGCTGCATACACGGCCCGGACGCGTCGACGGTGTACCGGAGCGGCCGCCGGCTTCACCAGCGAGATTCGCACAAAGAGGATGACTGTACTGCACTATCTACACTACAGTCATGTAGTAATGCGCTTGGACGCAACGAAGCTTCGAAGTCTGACTCTGACACATGCAGTGTAATGGGACCGAAATAATCGACAGCACTGGCAAAGTGGTGTGTCACTTTTCGTTTTACTGGGTACAGGTTTTGTTTTCGTTCCGTTCTGCCAGGACCAGAGCTGAAGCTGTAGCCGGTTACGAAGCAAACGCAAGAGTGACTGGCGATGGCGTAGACTATCGTGTTCGCTACTTGTTACAGTGTAGCTGAGTATTCACCGTGCGAAGGCTGAATGTTACTTCGCTGCGTCGCCCTATGCTGAACACGGTGAAGTGAACTCCGCAGCTCCAGTGCTAGTAGTAGTAGTAGTGTTCTGACACAGTTTTTCTTCACCGACGCTAGCACGCTGCATATTTTGTTGTGTGGCGGTGTCAGCTGGACAGGACTGCTTTGCCATGAGGACGTTGTTATCCATCATTTATGGAGCGCTGCTCATCTGCTTGCTGCTGGACTTCGTTCGTCTTCAGTCGTCGGACCAGTTTGGTAAGCATCCTCATCACTGACATCAGGCTCATGACTGTTATTATGTAGCGTGCTCTTGGCACGCGACACTGCCGACAGTGAGAACTGACTGTGTACGTGTACCATGTATGTTCTCTACTCGGGTTTCCGGTGGAGATATGGCTCGGCGAGCATGCCGAACACACGGTGGTAGTCTACCGACCCCGTACTCGTTTTGACCACACAGCGTTTGCTAACCGTCTGTGCATGGTTGTAAGCGTGGCCCTTTATAATTATTGTTTCCACGAAGACCTCCATACTTGTTGCACGTGTTTGTCGACCGGTGGTTGTGTGTAGCTCTATTGTGCCAGGCCAGCACAGAGGCAGTGCAAATAATTGTTGTCAGTATCACCGGAAACCAGAACGGCCAGAACGGCCGGTGTGTGTTACAGTCAGTGTAGGTCTACAGATTCTAAAATACTAGTCTAATAGTAGTAATAACATCGTGTAGGGAAATGTCAGTCGTGGGCATTACTATGCATGGTCATTGGCTTGTTGACTAGGTACACATTACATGTACATGCAATGCAATGCAGGTCCGGTAGTATCATGGGACTTTCATACTTTGTGTAGGATATGGCGAGTACACATGCCCTCAAAAGTAGGAAACACGTCACGATTGGTGGCCAAAAAGTTGGTCCCGGTAATAACCTGACCAACCGGACCGGCCACAGTCCGTCGGGCCTGTAATGAAGGTGACTCTGAGATACCCCCCCCCCCCCCCCACACACACACTCCCCCTCCTTTTACCTGCCTCTGTGGTCATGGATTCCTGGTCAGCTTCAATCTAGGGCCGTATGGAAGGTCACGGTGCTGTGTGCTGTAGGCGATGGCCTGTACCATGCCAAGCCTTGTTTCCAGTAAAATATGATATGTAGGCAAAGCTTGAGCTGCAAGTCTGAAGAAAAATTAACTGTCAGCACCAGGACTCAACCAGGGCCCTTCGCTATACATGTCAGGGCGTCGGAAGGAGTTTAACATTGGTGCGGCGAAAGTGTGAAAATTTTTGAAAATTGGGCCTAAAAACTAAAAAGCCATATACCGTATTATCTCTAATATAAGCACAGTCTCCAATAATAGCACGTCTCCAATAATAGAACACCTTGGGGCGGCATTCAAAAAATAAAGTGCTCAGTCTCCATTATAAGCACACTGTGTAAATTCATTATCTGCACCGGCGAAAAAACCCTGAAATGTGTGTGTCTGACATATAAATTTGGCATGGCAACATGCCTCTGAAATGAGGTTGAAATAATAATGGAACAGTCTCCAATAAAGGAACGTCTCCATTAATAGCACAGGGCGGAGGTACATTGAAAAAATAAAGGACCGTGCTTATATTAGAGATAATACGGTAGTATAATAAAAAGAATATGCATGCTGATCGATACACCGCATTGTCGATGTAAAACATGGTACCTGGACAAGAGTCGACAAGCCACCAACAAGGTTGAAATGTAAAAAAAAAAAAAAATCGAAAATTATTGGTGCGCCTGCCGCACCGGTTCCGACGCCCCTGCATGTAGGCCAGCGATGCTCTAACCACTGAGCCATGGCGTAGCTGTCATCCAAGCAGTGACTGTTCAACATTTTCTTCAGACTTCGGGAGCGGTTTTTGTGCTTCATTTAATTAACGACCTAAGTTCTGTCTTGTGAATATGTACATGTACCCGAAAACCAACCATGGAATACGCGAAAAGTAGGTTGTCAGCTAACTCTGCCCAAGGATGACTGTGGTCTGCCGTAGGGCCAGTGCAATGTACTTACTACTCCCCAGCCACTGGCCCAGGTCTGCATGCATGCAGGCTAGTATGGAGTATGGTAGTCAAGTACCTGTACACATACTACATACTAGTGCAATAACATGGCTGGCCATACCTACTGAGAATGCTGCACTCCTTGAGAATGATAAGGAAAGGGTGTGGACTGTATTACAGAGCATAGCAGGAGGAACCGTGTATTTGTACGTGCTACCAACAGTTACTTGTGAATGCATGGCAGCATACCGTGGTGGTGTGAAGTGTAGATAATGTGCACATGTGCTCTGGAAGTCGGGCTTCTTCTCCCACAACCTACCAACATGGTTCTTTTGTTGCCAGGTTGTGGCAAGAGCAGGAGAAGCCCAGCCTCTGGAATACACGCACAGCAACACGCACACAGTTCACTGGTTTTCAAGTTAGTTAGTACTGCGGCAGAGTTACTTGTTGCTCTTACTAAGGGGCTGTCATGATTGTCGCTAATCATTGCCATTCCTTGCACTGTGTGTACTGTACATTCATGATTGACTGTACGTGTTGTAGAATTAGCTGTAGAGTTATTCTACTTCGAAGCTACTGCATGTAGTAGTATGTCGTTATAATGTAGTGGCTTTATTCAATTCAATTAGCGAAATAGCTTGTAGCTTTGTGTGGCCAATTGAATTATCCAAAATGACATACTATACATGTAGACTTTCTCTCCCCTCTCAGGACTGTACTTGAAGTACATGTATCTGTACGTATGTAGCAAGTCTAGGTCAGTCCCTGTCACCACTGTCATACGGTGACATGTCAAAGTCATAGACATGACACGGAGAATGTGTGCATTGCTGAAAACTGAAAACTGGCAGTTTTGAACGGACTTGACTGCGTGCAAATCGCTGTACCCTTCGCAACACTTCATACTACTTCAAGTACTAGTATGTCATGTATATCCTGGATCATGTCATGTGACCCGACATCGCCTAGTACAGTGGCCTCTATATTGGAATGTGAATTGACGGCGTGGTGTAACATATTTTATCTCTGATTTTTGTTTGTCTGTGTTGTTTGCACTGCAGGGACGTGCTCAATATTCACATCTAAATGCGCCAATGGCCAATGCATACCTCTCAATGGAATATGCGACAATGTAACTCACTGCATGGATGGCTCGGATGAAGCGAATTGCAGCAGTGAGTTCTGAGATAACGTTGTGCCATCGCCATGCTCCTCTATCTGTTTCAGCTACTGGAAAGGCTGTGTAGTGTTCTTTGTGCCTTCAATCCTAAACAAGATCCCTGGCTCAACTCATGCACAGCAACTAAAATCCGCCAAGTCCATTTCACGCACGCGCACCCGGGAAATGGCGCATGCTAGATGCATAACATAACACAATGTACTACTATCATGAATGTCTGGGGGTGGCGAAGGATTGCAACAGCGCATATATAGCTGTGGACACTGCATCTCTCCCAAGCACAGATGAAAAAAACGTAGGGTGAAAACTGAAAACATGAGGCATGGATAAAACTAACTTGATGTCAGGCTGTCCCTCTCCCTATGCTACAGATAGAAAAGGCAGAGCAGGTTAGCAGTCACACGAAAGATAAAAGGAGAAAACCCCGGAGCCAGTCTGAGATTCATGGTGGACTTGACGCACGCCTACATCAGGTGGCGCGTGCTGCTTGGATAAATTTGTGGGCTGCCTTGGCCGAGCGAGGTGGCTGCTGACGCTGCCGGTGAAGCAGTGGTGATGTTGTCGATGGCGGTGGTGGTAAGGTAGGTGGTGAAGGCGCAGGCGACGGAGGATGGACCATGGTAGCGGGAACCGGCTTCATGAATGACACATGCCTGGAGACGCGCTAGCCTGTGGCCGGATGAGCGATGACCACGGTAGAGCCTGTCATCTCGTCTACAGTCCATGGATTGGGGTCCCAGATCGAGTCAAGCTTGGTGTGTTGCCGTTCCTTCTTGCGCAGAACTTGTTGACCCGGCTTGAGGGTGATTGTCGAAGCTGGTTATGCGCTGTGATGTTGGTTTGCCGCCTCGCATTGGCGGGCGCGGAACGCATGCTCTTTGTTGGCCGTGATGGTCGCATCTGGTGCTAGGGCCGTGCACAGGTTGGGGAGAGTGTCCCGGATGCTGCGGCCGAACATGACGGTAGCTGGAGGCAGGCCTGTGGCGGGATGGGGAGTGGTGCGGTATGCTAGCAGCCACTCGTCAAGTGCTGCTTGCAAGTCTCGGCCATCTAGTTGGGCAGCGCGGAGGACATTGCCGATCGTTCGGTACATCCGCTCCACTGCATCGTTGGCTTGGGGCCAGAGAGGAGGTGTGGAACGGTGAGCTATGCCCATCTGGGCAAGGAAGCGGTTGAACTCAGCCGAGCGGAACTGGAGGCTGTTGTCGGACACCACTTCTTCCGGCAGGCCGAAATGGGCAAAGGCACTGCGGAGTCTGCGAGGACGCCAGCCGTAGCGGGAGTGGAATTGAACAGGTGCGCAAGTACCCGGTCCCACATGCAGTGGCGGATCCACTGTTGTCACAAGGATTTGCGGGAACGGTGTCGCACCTCTCCTGCGACAAAATGCTCGCGTGGTCTCACACGATCACGTGTGCACGGCGAACGAAGCGAGCGCGCCTCTCTGACTTGCAAACAATTCGCTGCAGCTGTCCTGCAACTATTCCACCACGTGCCTTCACTTCCAACTACATGTACATGTAGTGATGATGATTTATGAAGCGGAGACAAACTCCTTTATCTTCTTGTTACCCGCTTTTTTTTTATTGCTGCGACCTTGTCCTTCACCTGTTTCCAGTTGGCTTCCATGTCAGACTCCTTCAGCTTTCGGCTATCCACCTATACCGCTCCGTATCTCTCTTCATTAATTTTGTTTGTCAAAACGAGTCTTGACTTCAACATACAACTGCAGCAGTAGCTGCTCTCACTCAGTCAAGTGTCCACTTCATGATCGAAAGTAAAATCAAACAACCCAAATTGCTCACTATGTCGGAGTGTCGCAGGAGCAGAACTTCCGCAGAAGAGGCATGTCGTGGTATTCCGTGAGGTCGAATGCAGCGAGTAGTAAGTATTTTACTACTCCCTGATAGGAAGTTTTTCTTTCTTGTATTTGTGGTACGAAGTTTTTTCTTGGCTTTTGGCTTTTCGATTGGTTGATTTTGAGTAGGGGTGTGCACGGGTAGCCGGGTACCCGTGCTACCCGTGAGGACCTCAGGTAGACGGGTACAGAATAGTACAGTCGAATGTCACTTATGCGGTCGCCAGTTATCCGAGCACGTCGGTCATCCGACAAAGCCCGGGAGTGGTAATTTTATGACTCTCAACAGTAAAATTCTTTAAAAAATATTAGTTTTTTTTGTATATTACCGTATTATCTCTCTTATAAACACAGGTCTCCGTTATAAGCACAGTCTCCATTATAAGCACAGGTCGGAGGGCTGTCGAGATTACAAACGCACAGTCTCCAACATAGTCACAGTGATAATACTGGAATGCAGCTGTGCGCATGCGCTTACCTTGAAATGACGTATGCGGGCGGACGCGTTCGCATATGTACTCGAACTCGTACCCTAGAGCTAAAAAAAACCAAAGTGCTCCACGGCCACGTGCGGGACTTCCACTTCCGCATCATTCTTTTTTCTTCTCTCTGTTCTCTAATCATGAAATCTGAGTTAAATTCCAATTTGAGTGTGTTACCAGTATGCAACTTTCTTGACGTTTTCATGGTAGAACAAATATTAACACGGTCTCCAGTATTATCACGGTCTCCTCTATAAGCACGGGTGCGAGGTGGGTTGAAAAAATATAAGTACCATATAAGTACCGTGTTTATAAGGGAGATAATACGGAATACGGTGTAATATGCATTTACTTGAAGTAGATGTGGTCAAGTATGCTAACATGTATGTGTACATGGAGCAATTAATGAATATGCATGAATATATTTGGCTATTGTGTACATAAATCAGTGAAATCCAGCCATACATGCACGTAAAAAATGATATCAGTTATCCAACATATCCAGTTATCCAACATGCCTGATTCCCGAAGTGGTCGGATAAGTGACATTCGACTGTACCCGAAAACCCGAAGTCGCAGTTGACATCATGTACAGTTGACATCATGTACAGTGTACGTGTACAAATTCATGTAATACCATCCAGTCAGTGTAAGGGAAGGGGTGCATTGTGGTGTTACCATGGAGACATTACCCGATCGGGTACCCGTGCTACCCGTGGAAAACTACCCGAACCCGACACCCGAAGAAAATGCTACCCGACTCGGCACTAATGTTGAGCTTTCTCCAGTTATCTCCCCAGCTATTTCCTCTTCAGACCAAAGTCAGAAATTGATAAAAATGGTGATCCGGCCTGCCGCCGAATGCACGGAACGACTTTGCGCAGGTGTAAATCACTGTCTGCTTCATGCTCGTACCATGGGGTACACGTGACCCACCCAGATCGTCGGCAGGGCACTGGTACCGTAGTGGAAATCGGCCCTTAGAAGTGGGCACACAGTTTGAGGGTACCGTGATTTCTGCCCGGCTCCCTCTGAAAGTGTGGGATACATATGGCCTGACCTGTGTCCTATCCCGGGTTTAGACGACTCCCTGATTCAACTGCTGTTTACGAACAGATGTCCAACTATAATGTAACGTGTTACTTGTGCTCTACAATGCAGTGTTGGGGAAAGGAAAAGGACGAAACTGAGGAAAAAAAGAAGGCTCAAGAGGGGATCGAACCCTCGATCTTCGGTTTACAAGACCGACGCCTTACCACTTGGCCATTGAGCCGTATACGGTCATTGAGCCCGATTTGCTTAGTTTGATTGTCTCCGGTGAACAAGCCCATGTAGGTGTGTTTTGCTTTGCATGACATGCTCGCACTGTACTCAAAACCTGTCAAAGGACCGCGCTCATAAGGGGATCACCTATAGGATAACAAGGTATCATTTCCAGTCAAAATGACTGTGGTATGGATAAGGAGGCCATCTGTACACGGAGGCCGCATTCTGGAATCCATCGAGTAGTCCGTGTAGACAGGTTTGACTAGTAGCAGCAGCAGCTGCAGTCAGAGCAATAGTTATTATTATTTAACTCGAATGCTGAGCCGAGATATTAGAGAAACAATAATTTAAATAATCGGCGAGGAGACAATAATTTCAGTATCGCAACAAGGAGGACTAGCTGAAGTGAGATTGAGTTACTTTATTTTTAAACAATGTCAAGCGATGGAAACAATGCGAAAACAATATAAAACTTAAATAAAAGGAAAGAGAAATATATGTACAGGAAGAAAGAATGATGGAAAAAATGAAACGAATAATAAAGTAGCTCGATGTCACTTCAGCTAGTCCTCCTTGTTGCGATGCTAAAACACCAATTTGTTGTCAGTTATGACTAACAAGCCACCAATTGAATCAGTTAATGAGCTGCCAGAAAGTGTGACAATTGGGTACGAAACTGACGAGGCGTACCGTGGCATTCACCAACCTGACACATAGCAAGTGACAAATCCAAGCCAAGTCTCACACAGCAGCAAAGAGTGCTGGTGGTTACAGGATGATGACGGTATGAGGAAGACCATTGGATAGTACGGTCAAACTACAGCTCGAGCAGGGCAGCATGCCGCCCTACTTGGGTGGCTCTGAGTACTCTTCGCCGTCTCCGGGCAGTGGAGCACCGCGCTTGATTGTTTGCATTGCTATGATGAGAGAATGGCACTGTTGAGATTAGTATGTTCTTGCTGAATACATTACCGGTGTGCTTTGTTCGGTGTTTGTCTGTGTGCTCGCTTGCGTGTTTGGCCAAGCAGGCACATCACCTCAGTGTCAGCTGCACAACGAGCAGCAGTGTGCCGATGGTACCCAGTGTTACAACGTCATCGAGAGATGCGACAACTTCACTGACTGCGACGATGGCTCCGACGAGTGGAACTGCAGTAAGTTACTATTATACCAGTCGTCGAGGCTATGTGTACTGTGTAGGCTGTTGTATGCTGGTCATTGTATTTAGCGACATGTTGATTTTTACAGCCCATTTCTTCTCTTGCCCAAGTTCCGTAGCAAGCCATTTCCGAAGGTCGGATTTCGTGGCAAATCTAATGTAGAAACTCTTTTGATCTCTTGAAAGATTGTCGTTATATGCACCTCCACTGTAGGCGCATACACCTTTAGTGGCGATTTCTCGACGTTGCTGTATACGGGTAGTACAGGTGGAATGTTGCTGCACACCGGTACATGTAGCATATCATGAGTTTGTAGACATGTCAGAAGGAGATATGAATTAGGAGAGGACTGAGCATTGAGAATGAGGAGGAAGAGGAAGAGTTCTTTCACAAGCGAAGAGGGGAGGACATGAGGGCGAGCAAAGGGAGTTGCAGCCGAATTTCTAGGCTACAGGATGACCAAACTGGCAGGCGCAAGAGATAAGCAAGGCGACTAGCACAGGACATGTAAGAAGCAAACAGCGGGTTCAACAACACAACAACCAACTGTCTTTGCTTTCTCTCTCTCTCTCTCTCTCTCTCTTTCTTTCTTTCTCACTCGTTCACTCACTCTCTCTCTCTCTCTCTCTCTCTCTCTCTCTCCGTCTCTCTCTCCGTCTCGTTCTCTGTCTGTCTGTCTGTCTGTCTCTCTCTCTCTCTCTCTCTCTCTCTCTCTCTCTCTCTCTCTCTCTCTCTCTCACACTCGCTCTTTCGCTCTCTCTCTCTCTCTCTCTCTCTCTCTCTCTCTCTCTCTCTCTCTCTCTCTCTCTCTCTCTCTCTCTCTCTCTCTCTCTCTCTCTCTCTCTCTCTCTCTCTCTCTCTCTCTCTCTCTCTCTCTCTCTCTCTCTCTCTCTCTCTCTCTCTCTCTCTCTCTCTCTCTCTCTCTCTCTCTCTCTCTCTCTCTCTCTCTCTCTCTCTCTCTCTCTCTCTCTCTCTCTCTCTCTCTCTCTCTCTCTCTCTCTCTCTCCCGTTTCTTGTCTCTGTGTGTACAGCATATAACTGTGATGGCGTTGAGGCTGTCCAGTGCCCGGATGGAACGTGCATTCCCCACGCATACGTGTGTGACAACTATGAGGACTGCCAAGTCAGCTACGTTTCACCGTTCGTATTTCGCCTATCAGCAGACGAAGCCAACTGCCGTAAGAAACTTACTTCAGTAGTACTTGTGTATATTGTGCTGTTCATCGTATTTTTAAAATCGAGCACCTCTTAGTCAACAGCATGGTCTCATCTTGGCCAACAAGTATGTTGTGGTAGTACTGTGCATGGAGTTTATAATGCATACTACTGTGTTTTGAGTACTCTCCCCCTTTGACCACACGTTACATCTGTCAAAGGTATGTTTGAAGTCTTTTTTATACGTGGAGTTTTAGTGGGTACCTGAGATTTTGGAGCCTAAAGGAGTTTGGTCTTCGGCCTCTCTTTGATGGCCAGTGTGATCTATTCACTTCCTACCACTGTAAGGACTGCATGTGGCGGTGACTACATCCACTGGGAGCTGTGGCATCCTTACTGATCAAAAACTTTCAAATGAGCTTGAAGTTTATTTCTTATAATTTGTTTCATTATAATTACAGTGAAACCTGTGTAAGGCGACCCCTAAAGGGACGAGAAAAAGTGGTCGCACCATGTACAGCTACACTTCCTGCACTGATGTGTAGATCTACCATGCCTGGTGCACCATGCAATGCGTACATTTACATGACTAGCACTGTGCAACGGGGTCTCGGGTGGGTGGTCGTCGGTCGCGTTGAGCGAGTGGTCGTCGGTCGCGTTGAGCGAGTGGTCGCCTTATCCGAGGTGTTTTGAACGTGAATGCGTCCGTGACAAGGAAAAGTGGTCGCCATGGTCGAGTGGCCGCCATTACAGGTTTTACTGTATTGCCATTGGCGGAGTGGGTGCATTACAGTGCTTTGAAGAAAGATTGTCAGCCTATGAGAAAGGGTTCTTGTGCAAAACACGTCACATCCGTTTTGGATTTTGGAAATAGTAGCTGTTATATTCGCCAGAATATGATCGACAGAGAACTACATGGAGCAAGAGCACAATATATTACAACTATACTTCAGAACGACAAGCAAGGAACTATTCGAAATCAGGAAACGAATAACTGACATAGCTGACAGAGTAGACTACGCGCTCTACTTCAAACACTACGCATAACGTACACATGGCAAAGCAGTTGACAACAGTGTGCAAGGCATGCATGTATAATGTGCAGTACACACAGAGCAGCGTATGGCGTACAGATCATGTACAGACAGACTATGGATTCAAACATAACACTCCTCCTCCTTTAGATAAGAAACGCCGTGAGGAATAGAATGTTGTTCATACTAAAACAAAAAAGAACTACTGCGTTGCAACAGGGAACACAGTAAAGGTAAAGCTCACAGAACAATTAACAAAACGGAATGAGCTGTGCTAGAATCATGACAGGACTGTTAGTGTCATCACAATTCTTCAATCAAGCGTTGACGGGGACGATGCTGTCTGGAGGATCGGCGCGGCGACTGTGCTGGCTTAGCCTCAGACGATGTGGATAGGGGTTGAGCTACTTTGATGTCTGTATCGGGCTCAAATGCTGGCTCGACAGCTGGTACAGCGGGAGCGTGTTCTGCTGGTGCACTGACTGGTGCAGGTACGGTAGAAGGCTGGCGGAACTCAACAGCCGGTTGAGGTTGCATTTCAATTTGTTCAGTCTCCTCTTCCCTCTCAGATTCTGCCATACGAAGGTGGTCAGAATGTACATGTCGCGTCTGTTCACCGGTACGAACGATGTACGATAGCGGACCAAGCCGCTCGGCGATAGTTCCGTGAATCCACTTTGGACCATTGCCATTACGAGTGTTGAGTACTGCTACAGCATCACCGGGAGTATAGTCTCTCTTCGTTGATGACGCTGTAGTCTGACGCTGACGCTGGGAACTACTGAAATTGGGCTTCAGCAGGGAGAACTTGACGTTTGGGGATTTCTTGAACACCAAGCTTGCAGGCGTGACTTGTGTTGTTGAATGTGGTGTGTTGCGGTACGCGAACACAAAACGGTGGAGCTGGGTGCCGGCTGACACGTTGTCCGGGCGAGTACGTAGCGCCTTCTTTAACTCTTGGACACAACGTTCTACTTGTCCATTGGACGCAGGATGGTATGGCGGCGTGCACTTATGGCTGATTCCGTTCTCCAAACAGAATTGGCGGAACAGGTGCGACGTGAACTGCGGACCGTTGTCGCTGACCAGTGTCTTCGGGATGCCGTACGTAGATAAGAACGACAGTAGGCACTCCAGGGTCTGGTGGGTTGTCGTAGAAGACATCTTGTAGACGCTGAGCCATTTTGAATAGGCGTCTACAAGCAGAAAGTAGTGCTGGCCGTCGTGCTCGGCGAAGTCGACATGCACTCTTTCAAAGGGCTCGGAGGGATAGATCCAGGGATGCGGTGCTTCCTTGGGCGGAGCGTTAGCGGTGTCTTGGCACTGACGGCATGACGTGGCTAGATGCTTGATATCATCATCAATGCCTGGCCACCAGAAGAAACTACGTGCGACGGACTTCATTCGCACAATGCCAAGGTGCACACTGTGCAGCTCCTGCAGCAGCGCGCGGCGAAGTTGCACAGGGATTACGGTACGATGGCCTCTCACCAAACAACCAGACTCGATCGTCAGCTCGTTGCGGCATCGGCGGTAGGCTTGAAGATCGTCGGGGGTGTCGGCGGGCCAACCGAACTGAAGGTACTGCAAGATGCGCGAGATAATGGCATCGTCTTTGCTGGCTGCAGCAACATCAGCAGCAGAGACAGGTAGAGACTCACATGGATCACGGGCATGCTGGAGAACGGCGTTCACAACGGTTGCTTCTTGCTGCTCGGACAGCTTCAATGGCAGGCGGGATAAGCAGTCAGCGATGACGTTAGAGGTGCCACTGATATGCTCAATCTGGTACTCATACTCACTGAGAATTACTGCCCAACGCTGTAACCGGGAAACGGCTGTTGCTGGCATGTCGGAGTGCGGTCCAAAGATACGCAGCAGCGGCTTATGGTCAGTGCGGAGTACGAACGGACGACCATACAAATACATGTGAAGACGTTTCACTGCGAACACAATTGCTAGAGCTTCACGCTCGATCTGGCTGTAGTGCGATTCGGCAGAACTCAAAGCTCGGGATACGAAGCACACAGGACGTCGGCTGCCAGTATCATCTTCTTGCAGCAGACAGGCACCGAGGCCATACGGAGAAGCGTCACACTCGACAATGACTTTGCGGTTGATGTCGAAGTGGGCAAGAATGGGTGCATCAGCCATCAGATTCTTGACCTTCTCGAATGACTCTTGACATTCAGACGACCAGTCCCAGGGTGCGTCTTTCACGAGAAGTTGTCGTAGCGGCTGTAGTACATCTGAGATAGATGGCACGAAACGGCTGTAGAACATCACTAAACCGATGAACGACTGCAGAGCTGTCTGGTCTTTCGGTGGTGGTGCGTCGACAATGGCAGCAACCTTGTCGCCATTGGTTTGAATGCCTTCGCCTGAGACAGTGAAACCGAGATAGCGGACCTGGTCAACGCTGAGTACACACTTCTCGAGACGTAGACGTACACCAAATTCGGCAAGTCGCTCCAGTACTTGACGTAGGCGCTCATCGTGCTCGGCTGGGGTTGCTCCGGTGATGAGGATGTCGTCATAGAAACAAACCACACCAGGGATGCCTTGCAGGATCTGATCCATGGTTTGTTGCCAGATTGCCGGGGCACTTGCAACACCAAACGGCAGACGGTTGAATGCATAGAGACCGCGATGCGTGGCAATGACGCAATACTTCTGGCTTGCTTCGGATAGCGGCAGCTGTGCGTATGCCTGGCTGAGATCAAGCGTGCTGAACATTGACCCACCGGCAAGACGTGACAACAGATCATTCGGATTAGGTATTGGATGCTGACGTGGATCGATGTGCCGGTTGATCGTGACCTTGAAGTCGGCACAAAGGCGGATGTCGCCATTCTTTTTGCTGACTATCACTAGTGGCGAGGCCCACTCAGCTGACTTGACTGGACGTATGATACCTTCACCCTCCAGACGGTCGAGCTCACGCTCCACGGCAGGACGCAGAGCATATGGAACGGGACGAGCTGAACAACAGCGAGGGGTCGCTCCCTCCTTCAAGTGGATCTCAGCTTGGTGGTCCTTGACCGTACCGAGGCCAGTTCCAAATACCGCCGGAAACTCATTCTTGAAGTCAGCCTCTGTGCTCGACACTGAGTTGATGCGGAACAATGATGGCCAGTCGAGACGAAGACGGTGCAACCAGTTACGACCGAGTAGGGGATGGCTACCGCCCTTCACAACCACAATGGTGTCTGTGATGGATTGCTCACCGTACGCTACTTCAACAACCGTCTCTCCTACCACTGGTAGCGAACTGCCATCATAGGTGGTGAGTTGCAGCTGGGACGCCGCAAGCGGAACATCACTCCAGGACTGTTCCCATACGTGTTCAGGTACTAGAGTGACTTTCGCGCCTGTGTCCACTTCCATTCTCAGCGGCCGTTCGTTGACGAACACGGACACAAACAGCGAGTCTGACTCGTTCAGCGGAGACGTGACTTTCCCAATAGCGTAGGACTCATGCTGGACAGGCTTCTGCTGAGATGCTGGTGCGCTGTGTGCTGAAGGTGCACTAACGACTTGATGTGTACCACCTCCTCTTCCTCTCCTTCCAGTCTTGGACGACCTGGATGTCACTGGTTTCCGACACTTGCGCTTGTAGTGACCTTTCTTGTGGCAATTCAGACACTCCTTGCCACGTGCAGGGCAGTTAGCAGACTCCGCTGTGTGATCCGAAAGACCACAGTTGCTACACTCTGCTCCGGGTGGACCACTTGAATACGTTGGTGTCCTAGTGCCAGTAGTGGAGGATACCAGACGGACAGGAGCTGGAGCACTGCGCGATTGTGACATTCCTCGAGCGCTGAGTTCAGTTGCCTCGAACTGTCTGGACAACTCCAGAGCATCCTTGAGCTTGAGAGTGCCTTGTTTCTCCAGAAACTTTCGGCGTAGACGATCATCGATGCACTTCTCTACAAGCTGGTCACACACTTGCTCGTCCTGGTCAGCAAACGAACAGAGCTTTGCTTGTTGAACCAAACGGTTGCCAAACTGAGCTACTGTCTCTGTCTCCATTTGCGCCAATCGGCGGAAAGTATGTCGTTCGAACATTACATTCGGAGTGTACTGAAAGTACGAATCCAACATAGTGACTACTTTGTCGTAAGAATTCTGGACAGAACCATCCGTCGGAGCTGGAGGTTCCGGGAGCGTGTCAAACACGTCCTGTACAGCGGGACCAACAAGATGTAACAGCTTTGCTTTCGACCGTGTCGAATCGGTGATATCTTCTGCAGCAAGGTAGTATTGAAAACTGCGTTTCCACTTCGCCCAGCGAATGGATACATCTTGAGCAGGGCCAGTAGGATCGAACTGAGGTACTGGGCGTTCTGCCATTGCGGATTACAAAAAACTATCTTCGTCGCCAGTGTTATATTCGCCAGAATATGATCGACAGAGAACTACATGGAGCAAGAGCACAATATATTACAACTATACTTCAGAACGACAAGCAAGGAACTATTCGAAATCAGGAAACGAATAACTGACATAGCTGACAGAGTAGACTACGCGCTCTACTTCAAACACTACGCATAACGTACACATGGCAAAGCAGTTGACAACAGTGTGCAAGGCATGCATGTATAATGTGCAGTACACACAGAGCAGCGTATGGCGTACAGATCATGTACAGACAGACTATGGATTCAAACATAACAGTAGCCCAAACTGATGTCTGGGTGTTATTCCACTATGGAAAGAATCAAGTGCTCGCTCGCTGCTGTGGAGTAAACAGAACGGAATCGTTTTGAAAACTTTCGCAGGAACTAATTCGCTCTGCTTGTCCACAGTAATGACGCACACTTGATTATTTTCACGGAGTTATTAAAAAAACATTGTCTCCTTGTCGACTATTTCTGGGCTTCTATATTCTTTCTAATTAATTGTTGAGCCGATTTTGACATTGCTTTTCTGCAGAAGAAAAATTACATACCACCCACCATCTACAGTCCATTCAGAAAAAAATGAACTTCTAGCTTTTGGCCATAAATGGGTCAAACGTTGAGTTTTTTTAGAATTTTTTTCTGCAATCCCATATGGAATCCTCTTCCAATTATGTTTCTGAAGTTTTTTTGTCCAAAAAGCAAGCCATAGCAAGAATAGGATTTCGGCCAGGTTTTGCCCCAAAAGCACTGAATTGGGAAAAACCATCAAAATCCAGGCCGTTTGATCCCGCCTGCAACAGTGCATTCTGCGGTTCGAACCCCAGTTCAGGCACCCTTTTTGGACCCTTTTTCAAATTTCAAAGTTCGCAGCACTGCACTGTGTACGATGAAATCACGAAAAATCGCCAAATACGGGAGCTCGCCAGAGCCAGGACCCATTTTTTTATGAATGGACTATAGTTCTCTGTTACTCAAGCTTTCGGATGATGCAGAAAGCGCAGTTCCCAATTTTGGCCTACGCTGCATTTTTGCAATAACACCACCCGGGCTTGACTTGTACTTGTGTGCATTGTTTTTCCCTGCAGCTGTTCCAAGCAATGACAGGTGTAGTGATGGTGAACTGAAGTGTTTTGGAACGTCACGCTGCATACGCACTGCATGGCTTTGTGATGGAGAAGTCGATTGCGAACGGAACGGTGACGAATCACAGAGTCTTTGCTGTAAGCTGTTCTTCTTTGAAGCAGTGATGTCTTTGCGTGTGTGGTAATGAGTTTTTAAATGAACAATACAGTGGTTCTGCTGCAAGTGAAAAGTAGAGAAATCACGTTAAGAATTTAAGATAGATGTCTGGGTTAGAGGTTATTGCTTTGCATGTTTTTGGGTGCAGGTTTCTACGCGAAGATGTGAATCTCTACTTTCCATACACACAAGCAACACAAGAAAAACGACAGCAGCTCGAGAACCGGTGCTCTCAAAGTAAATCCATGCAGTGACAAACATCACACCCGCAGCACATCAAGACTGCAACGACAGCTACACATCACGACACAAAGAATATGCAAACGGAATAATGCCAGCAGAAGACAAAGTGACGCAAACAAGAGACCAGAAATGCAGCAAGCAACTTGAAGAGCTCTGTGCGACCTTTGTTAGCAACATACTTCTGAGGGGTGTAGGAGAGAAGATTAATTGCACGCAGCAACAAAGTTGCTATTTTTTGTTACTGAACCAATATTGCACTCAGGAACAAAGTTGCTATTTTCATTACCAAACCTGCTCTCAAAACATGTCCAAGTTTTTCAACCCATTGTCATTAGTAGATACATGGGAATGGATGAAAGAAAGTCGCAACAGTGCAGTACACAATGCAAAAGAAAAGGCACATGATGAGACTTGGCGCTACCGATAGCCCATCACGTCATTAGCCACGCCACTTGTGTCTTCTGATAAAGGGTTTCAGCACCTTGACATACCGGTGCGAGCATAGCTCTAGGTCTGTTGTGTTTAAACCAGCGCCTTCTCTTTCCTTTTCGCTTCCTCATGTAAATAAGTGAATGGTTGGCGCTTGCGTTAGATCTTAGTAAGCGTCTTTTCTATTGCAGTGTGTAATGGATTGTTGTGACTGTCTCTTCGTCATTCCCATGCATCTACTGATGAGAATGGTTTGAAAAGCTTTTTGGAAATGTTTCGACAGTTGATTTAGCAATGCTGTACTTGCCAAATCTGTACTGCTGCTGGGTGTGTTGCTGCTGCTTTTGCTGCTACTGCCATTGTCTTGCTGCTGCTGCTGCTGCTGTTGCTGTTGCTATTGCTGCTGTTGCTGCTGTTGCTGTTGCTATTGCTGCTGTTGCTGCTGCTGCTGCTTGTCTTGCTGTTTCAATGTTTGTGGCTAGTACCGAGCTGAGTGTTGCTACGTTTCCTGTTTTCCGATGTTTCTGTTCAACTTGATTCCAGTTTTTCGGTGCAATTCTTCGGAGTTTCGCTGCATCAACGCCCCGCTGTGTATAGCTGATGCACTAACTTGTGACGGCAAAGCTGATTGCCCTGATGGCAGCGATGAAGCTCTTGCATCCTGCGGTCAGTCCTGATTATATACACTTGGTCATTTTCATGCAATTCCACATGCGCGTGAGCTTTAGAGAGAGAGAGAGAGGGGGGGGGGGGGGTGGGGCCCAGGTTGTGCTGTGTCTGAGTCCTGATACAGATTCTCTCTCTGGCTGACTTTCCTCTTTGCACCTCAGTCGTGCTCAGATTTTACTGTTGTAAGTAACTTGTAACCTTATTTAGCATCTTCCGCCGTTATGGAAAACCCCGCCACGAAACAAACTGAATTCTAACAGCAAACATCAGCGGAATAGGCTCACGTCCATTACAAATGAGGATGGCCTTCTTGTTGAAATCATGTTGACAAAACAGGGCCGTAGCACCCGGTCCAGCCAATCCTGCCGGGACCTTTTTCCCTTAAAAACGTCGACCTACCCAAGTCGTGCAAAACGGGTTTTTCATCAATAATTATTATGTTCATTTCCGGTCAAGTATCCCATTTGGCCAGACCGGCACCTGAAGTCTATGGCCCTGCAATGATACCGCCACACAGGTGGGTTTTTTTTAATCTCCCCCTTGTGTGCTGCCTGTCTGCAGGTCACCGCTGCTCCCCAGATACGTACAGGTGCGCAGGTGGTCAGCAGTGCATAGACGAGAGATTGGTGTGCAATGGCTTCACAGACTGCAGCGATGGTTCTGACGAGGCAAATGCACTTGGAAACTACACTGTCTGCTTGAACCGTAAGCACTCTTCTGCAGATAGCAGTCGACTCTCTGTTCTGTTTCAGGAAGGAGAAAGAGAAGAAAAGAAGATTAAAAAAGAAAGAGGTGTTACCATGCACGTGCCGATATGTCCCAGACACAGAACTCCAGAAACACAGTCCCTTGTCGGGAGAAGATGGTGGAGGTAGGAGTATGGGTTGGCCCACTGTTTAGCTTCATGAATAGAAATCCTCGTTGAGCTACCTGTTCCATTGCAAGTACATGTACTGGTAGGTATCTGACATAGAACGGGTGGGCAACTCTGCCGTTTCATGTTGCACCTGCATGGCTGGCATATCCTGGCGGCCATCGCTGTAAACTGCTCAGCATTGGCTTGCAGGACTTATGGTTGAGGAAAACACGGTGGATGACACAACCATGGCTGTACCTGTTGTGATGCCTCCAACTGCCTTGCATAAGAAGACTGCACTAGTTTGGATGGCTGAAGCTACGTGAAGCATATACAATCATCACCTTTATGAAAAATAGCGCCATCTACATGCACGCCTGCACGCGTGTACACACACACACACACACCACACACACACACATGCACTCACATGCACTCGCGCGCATGCCTGCTCCCGCACACACACCACATGCATACCGGTATGTGAGCGCATGCACGCATGCACGCACACACACACACACGCTAACCAACTCGACTCCGCATTCTAACGCCAGGTTTGTTTTGGAAGTGCGTTCACTGGCCGTGCCCTGTAGGATGTTGGTCTGAACAATGTAGCCTTCAAATTTGTATACTGATATGTGTGTGTGTGTGTTTGTGTGTGTTTGTTGTGCAGGTTTCCAGCAGAACGAGTCATCCCTTGCCACTGATTGTACCGGCAACATGGTGTGTAAGGCCAGTACTGGACCAAGCTGTCCTGCGGGATACACACTCAACAACGTACTCTCTGGTGCCATCTGTGTTGGTAGGTCTACTACTAATCAGCCAGTGTAGCTTTGCAGTGTTGAATCGCACTGTAAAAGGAAGCAGTGGTCTGTGGAAACTTGTCAGGAGCGGAGCGGTGCAAAGAGCATTGTATAGAACATGTGCAAGTGACAGAGTTCACCCTGTGAGCAGCCAACTCTCTCTTTACCGAGTGCGATCGTGTGAGGGTGTGTAGAGGAATAGGGTTAAATTGGTCGAGAAGTGCTGCTCCGCTTCTCTTAGTATGCACCGGTACACGTACGGTGGTATTTGTGATTCTGTATGTGTGTTGTGTTGCATGTGTCAGATCAGGATGAGTGTAGTGAGCCCGGTGCGTGCAGCCAGGCGTGTGTCAACCAAGCAGGCAACTTCTCCTGTAGCTGTTCCACGGGGTACACGTTGGAGAATGGCACGATATGTGTACCCTCAGGTAGGTCCTGCAAGCCGTTGCACATTGCACTGTGTGTGCGTGTATTCCAGTTTTGAATTCAGCCGCTGCACACTCTACTCTACCTGTGAGTCTTGACTTGTGATCCCATTGTGAGTTACTTGGACGTAAGTCAGTTGTCAATTAATCATTGCTTGATTGGTATGGAGTGTGGCCTGAATGCCACACTCTTTGCCTTTTGGATATACACTATGCCGCTGTACTTGTATGTGCATCATACGAATAGTATTCATCTCAGCCAGGTCCGGCCTCACGCTGCACTGTGAGTCCACGAAGGACAACCAAGCTGCTGGTTGAGATAAACGGACCGGTAGTTTTTTTTGTGCTGACGTCAACTATACATGTAAAATGGTGCTGCTGAAACCCTTTCTACACTGATTACTGTAGAGTGAGGTATCCTTGTGGCAATCCACCATCACCCGCACCACCACCGCTGCCGCCACCGCCGCCAGCACCAGCAGCAGCGTACTGGCTGAGCATTGGGTGGCAAGCGTAAGTGTTAGTGATGCTTCAGAAGTGTTCGCTCTTGGCTAGTAGTCTGTGTGCGTCTGGTGTGTTCTCTCGTTGTGTGCTACAGCTCCGGGGGTAGCACTCTTGGTTGCTAATGAGGTGGATATCCGCGTCATTGAAGGTGGTGTTGACACAATTGTGGTTCCGAAGCGCCGCAGTGCCGTGGCCGTGGACTACCACTATACACAGGATATGCTCTTCTGGGTGGACTCTGTTACTAGTGGCATCTTTGCTTCAGATCTGCAGGTAAAAATAAATTCATAGTTCTTCTTGCCGGTAGCAATTGCAGGCTTGTAAAAGTAAAGTTACCACCGGCTTAACCGGCGTTGAGAAACACAACCAGCTTAGAGAAGTTTTGCAGGCTTGTACAGGCCATCAGAGACCGGCAGATTGGCCGAGCAACCACTAGGAGTGATTGTCGTCTTGGCCATGGCAACTGTGCAGCTCGTACAGCATCAGCTTGCGTTTGGCCACGGCTGTGGTGCTTTTCTGTTGTTGCTGTTGCTGTTGACGTGGATAGAGATAGAACTGCACTGCAGGTATTATATTCCTGTAGGCGTGGGATGATGTTGATACTGATTAGTGATTACTGTAACACGGGGTAACGTTTGCGACAATCAATGTTTGCGTTTTACAAATTGAGACTGGTTTGCGCTGTTTAATGTTTGCGATTGAATACATATGAGTCGAGTCAGTCCTTGCACTGAACTTTACATGGCGCAAGTTTGCGTTGTTCAAAGTTTGCGATTCGGGGCCGCTCGCAAAATTCGCAAACATGTTTACGTCGCAATAGTTACCCGTTTTACAGTCCTAGTACTCGTCAGAGAAGATATTGAATGTCATTGTGTATTGTACTTGTGGCTCAACAGCTCGAGATGAGTTTGAATGTTGTGGGGCTTGATTTGAGGCAAGGTGGAAGAAGTACTTCGAGATACGGTACATTCTCAACTACAAACCACCATGCTTACTGTTGGTAGGAACCCGGTCTATGCCACCATATAAATCATTGTTAGGAAGGAGGTCATTCGGTTTGAACCCGCCTGTCTGCTGTGTTGACTTTTCACCCTTTCATGATTTTCTTAGGGTGGAGATGCTCGACAGATTGTGGATGCCCTGCTGTCGAAACCTGAGGGCATTGCAGTTGATTGGGTGCACGATCGCATCTACTGGACGGAGACCACCAAGGGACTGATTGAGACGTCCCTGCTGGATGGCAGTCAGCGCACTACATTACTTGGCTCACAGCTGTACAAGCCTGTGTCCCTAGCTATTGATCCATGTAGCCAGTGAGTACAAACACTGTGTCCCTAGCTATTGATCCATGTAGCCAGTGAGTACAAGCACTACCGATAATGCGGTATGCTAGGCACTGCAGTGAACTGCCCCTTCCTTAAAATAACCTCCACCCCAACACCACTCTCACCCCCAACACCACCATCATTGTCACTCGCAGCACTGAATTACTCTAATTTCAGACATTTTCGGTGCTCAAAATTTTCGGTATGAGGGCAAAAGGCCAGGTTAGGTGAACAGAAATTTTTGGTACAGAGAAGCATTTCCCTATTGGATTATGTGTGTTAGTGCTTTTTTTCGGTGTAGTGAATTTTTAGGTATGAAACAGATGCACCGAAAGTACTGAAAATAAAAGTACAGTCGAATGTCACTTATCTGGTCGCCAGTTATCCGAGCACGTCGGTTATCCGACAAGCCCGGGAGTGGTAATTTTATGACTCTCAACAGTAAAATTCTAAAAAAAATTGTTTTTTTGTATATTATAATTATGGTGTAATATGCATTTACTTGAAGTAGATGTGGTGAAGTATGCTAACATGTATGTGTACATGGAGCAATTCATGGCTATGCATGAATATAATTAGGGTATTGTGTACATAAATCAGTGAAATCCAGCCATATATGCACATAAAAAATGATATCAGTTATCCAACATATCCAGTTATCCAACATGCCTGATTCCCGAAGTGGTCGGATAAGTGACATTCGACTGTACGCCGAAAATTTGTGTAAATTACAGTATGCTGTCCACAATGTAGAGTGCTGTTTGTGACTGTGTTGATGAATTGCTCAACATGCTGCGTACATACATGTAGGTGGCAGTCACCTTTGGTCTGGCCAGGACTTCCATGAATGTGTATGTGTGTATGTGTGTGTGTGCGTGCATGCATGTTTACTTGTCAGCACACGAAGCACAGAAGCCATATTATAATTTTTCGACTAGGCCTTTCATTCCATTACTCTTCAGGTCGAATACAATGGTGATTAACAAGGTAGTAAGCAAGTCCTTATAACCGTGTACTTGTTTACTTGTGCATGTATATAACAATGTAGTTATGTGTGCATGCGTCTGACATTCTCATGTTAATGTGATGCAGCCATCTGTACTGGACGGATGTCAGCAATGTTCCCCGCATAGAACGCTGTGATTTGGACGGCTCTCGGCGTGTTGTCATCCATGGAGACAACTTATACTGGCCCACTGGCTTGACCCTGGACTTGGAAAACCGGCTCATGTATTTCTCAGACAATAAGCTGCATACCATTGAGGTATCCAGCCTGGATGGAAGTCATCGTAGGTTCCTGGTGACTGCGGGACTGCGTCACCCGTTTTCCTTGTCTCAATTTGCCGGCAATGTGTATTGGAGCGATGTGCGGCGTCAGACATTGTCCGCAACCAATCAGTTTGTGTCCAACTCCGTCGAGACGATCTCAATCCGCTTGCACCTGCCTACTGATGTTAAAGTGCTTCATCCGCTCAGGCAGAAGACATGTAAGTAGGGGTGTGTGCAATGCATGTGTAGCTCAGGCAGAAATATGTAAGTAAGGCTGTTGTAACCGAATGGCGCCTAGTAGCATGCACTATGATCCGACACACCGCCAAAGACAACAACCGACCGCTCCTTCGTTCTAAGATTCTGTTGAGTAAGAAAAGTGTACGGTATTAGATGTGACCAAAAAGATACAGTGAAAGAAAAACCTAGCAAAGCATTGCAAGCATTGCAAGCATTGTTGGTTCGGCTGCACGCTTGTGCAAACATACAGATCGACAATGTTGGGCGGAAACCAAACACCACAACTTTTTCAGAAACTAACTTGTTCACACCTACTTACAATCATGAGTCCATACCGACGGTCCGTGTCTGGTCTGGTCTGTTATGTTAGCAACCTAGAATGCATTGACAACTAAGGTTCTCCAAAGAAAAGAACCAACAATCCACCAACAGCTAAACAAGAGAACAGCGAAATGCGTAATGGGTCTTGCATTTGCTAGCTTGCTCCTAACTAAGCACGCGCCAAGTTAGACTGATAACACAACACATATACAGTTTCAGGAGCCATAGCGCTGTGGTGGCTTAATGGCAGATCTGTCTCGCAGTGACATGCGGATGCCGCCATCCCCTATGCTGGGCTCAGGACCTGGCAGCACTGATGCTGGCTGGCACAGATAACCACTATCCGTTGCCGCTGCATTATCGTCCATCAGCACTGTTGGTTGGGCCATGTCACGGGCGACATCCCTCTTGATGATCTCCACATTGACAATCTTGTCCGCTGAGTGTGGATCGGCAGCCCGGGTGATGACAACTGTTGACGGCGACACAACGCGAACGATGCGCCACCCAAGCTCGTACAGTGCCAGGCATTTGCAGCTCCGGGAAGGCCGCCGTTGGTGCAAATGCCAACAAGTGCCTCCGCGACACTGACACCATCATGGCGGGCTACGGGTACGACTTCCACCCACCGTGTGAACATGTCCACACACACGAGGACATAATGGTAGGAACTACTGCGGCTGGGCCCCAGCTCTAACGTATCAATCTGGATGACTTCCCACGGCCTGGTTGGTAGGTCGCTTCTCGCGGCAGGAGGGTTGGGCTCTCCTCGCGACGGGTTCGCTGCACGGCACGACCTGCAGTCTCGGACGACTTCCCGGCAGCGTTGCACCATCTGTGGGAAATGACAGCACTTCCGAAGACTGCCCCACATGGTCTCCCAGTTACCATGCCCGGTGTTGCGGTGAGCAGCAGCGACGGCTTCACTCTGCAGTGCAGTAGGCAGGACCGGTACGATCACATCACCATCGACGGGGTCCACACGACTGAGGTACAGGACGCCATCAATAACGCGGAGCTGACCCTTCCATTTCTTGTACAGCTGGCTCGTCACTTGCTTTCCATCCTGTAGCTGTGTCACTGTCAGCTGCACGTCCGCATCTACCGCTTGGCACCCGCGGATAGATCGCATCGACGCTGGCCCCTTCATAGAACTTGCTGGTAGTGCTGCTGCGATTTCACCTGCTTCCTCCCGATAGGGAGGCCATGAGGTTGGCACGCGGGTGAGCCGATCTGCAACGTTCGACTCCGAGGGGACCCACTCCACGGACACCGTCATGCCAGCAGCAGCCACAGTGTCCTGAAACACCTGCAGGCGGAGACGGACGAGAGACTCGTGGAGACCCCCCCCCCCACCTTCACGCGATGAGTATTCTGCGAGACCGCGCTCCGCCACCCAGCAACCATCTTCGAGTCGGTCACGATGGTCAGGTTCTTGACGTTCCACCGGATGGCCATATCCAGCGCCTTCAGAGACGGCTAGAGCTCCGCCACATTGATGTGACGCTTGTCTGCTTTGTCTCGCAACCACGAACCGTCCTCGACAACCTTGCCATCCTGCGTCAGCGCCGTGGCAATTGCCAGGTTCGATGCGTCACAATACGCTCGCCATGTACCCATCGTTGGGTCGGCGTACCACACTCCGATAACGGGGTCATCATTGCACAGGCGGTGAACAATGTCGCGGCAACACTTCAAGATAGCTTCCGGTACAGCCTGATCCTATGCCACCTCTGACGTGCAGGCAAGGCGCTTGACATACGAACACGATGGGCGCAGCCAGGCTTACACAGGGTAGTGCCCAATCACTCGGCCACACCAACTAAATAGTTCACGCTTCGTTGGCTCGTCGGGTAGCTGCAGAGACACGCCTTCGCGACGCGTCCACGACACACTCCCCTCGTTATCAGCCTGAAGTTGCAAACCTAGCACACGCGCTCTCACGGCTGGCTCTGTCTTGTCCGCCCATTGCCTTTGGACCTCCCACGCCTTGTCAGCCGTACTCCACCGGAGGATCATATCTGATGCCCGCAGCACAACATCGCCATTGCTGAGCTTCTCCACGTCCTCGTGGTGGAAGTCTTCAGCGGCTGCTTGTGCTTCTGACTCGGGCGTGATGGATGCTCATCTGGGGTGCTCGACACCAACACCAATGGGCATGCAGCATTGACGGTCCCGAATACAACCCCCACCAGTTCACCTGCGTCATACTGCATATGCACGCCACCCAGCGTCGCGATGCTGTTAACTCCAATCAACACGTCAGCCTCCACAATAGACAGGTCGTCCACCACCAGCATGTCAGTCTCGGTCTCAGGTAGGCGAACCACAGCACTATCCAGCCGTGAGATCGTACACTCCACGACTCCACGGACATCCACCGGACTGCCATCGATCACATTAATTGTCGATGACGTAGGCCTGATATCCAAAGCTAGGTCGGTTGCCAGGGCGCTAGCTACAAGGAAACGGGATGCACAGGTGTCTACAGCAGCTATTACATGCTTGCTTGGACCGCCGAACCGTTTGATGTCCACAAAGATCCGTGGCAGACTGTCACCTCCACTGCTCAGGCATAACACCTTGGAGTTACCATGATCAACAGAGTGCACAGGAGCAGCAGCTGCACTCCCACCACGCTGCTTCCTCTGCTTGAAGGCCTTGAACTCCGCACAATCTCTCATCATATGCCCAGCCTCATCGCAGAATAAACACGTCAGCTGGCTGTGTTTGGCTTGCTTGTGGCTACCGGTGCCACCACTCGTGCTCGCAAGGCAGTTCCGCTTGAAGTGGCCAACTTGACCACACTTGTAACACAGGACACGTCTTGCGGAGCCGCGACCTGCACCTGCTGCAGCGGTCATCCTGGAAGAGCTTGATGGAGCCCGATCGTCTAGAGCACCGTAGCTCACTGCTGCCACACCGGGCTTCATTGATCGCTCCACGCTTCTAAGCCGCCTGACGTACTCCACGCAATCGTCGATGGTATCCGTTTTTACACTCATACGGAGCTCCTTCGCAAACTGAGAGGGGAGCCCGGAGAGAAACTGCCCGATCACTATTTTATTCTTCCCGTCAGCATCAACCTGCTCACCAGACAAGGTGAGAAGCCTCTTCAAGTCTGCTGCGAAGTTGTCCACCGACTTGTCTCCTCGCAAGATCCTGGACGTAAACATCGAGTATGCTTGATCCGGTGCCATCCCGAAAGCGGCGGTCAGCTTCGCTTTCACATCGGCCGGCTTCTTCTGATCCGCTGCCGCCATCTCGTTCCACACGGTGACCGCCTCACCCTCGAGATAGAGCGGTAGATTCGCCATCTTCTTTTCGTCCGAGTCCCACTTCTGCAAGTCCGCGAAAACTGAGAACTTCGCCCAGAATTCGCTCCGGTTGTCCCGACCCCCACGGAACGGTCTCAAGAAGCATTCGACTTTGGCCATCTCGCACTGCTACCCTTTCGCCCGACTAATCCGAGTTACAACACAAACTCCCGAGTCCCGGGTTTCGGCACCAAAAAGTGCTGTAACCGAATGGCGCCTAGTAGCATGCACTATGGTCCGACACACCGCCAAAGATATCAACTGACCGCTCCTTCTTCGTTCTAAGATTCTGTTGAGTAAGAAAAGTGTACGGTATTATATGTGACCAAAAAGATACAGTGAAAGAAAAACCTAGCAAAGCATTGTTGGTTCGGCTGCACGCTTGTGCAAACATACGGATCGACAATGTTGGGCGGAAACCAAACACCACAACATTTTCAGAAACTAACTTGTTTACACCTACTTACAATCATGAGTCCATACCGACGGTCCATGTCTGGTCTGGTTTGTTATGTTAGCAACCTAGAATGCATTGACCACATGGATTCGACCACACTGTGTGCAATGCATGTGGAGCTCAGGCAGAAGACATGTAAGTAAGGCTGTGTGCAATGCATGTGTAGCGCAGACGGCCATGTGCAGTCAATTGTATCACTTAATATCCTGTCACCAGCAATACTACTGAAGTAGTACCGTTGTAAGTCGGACAACTAATACGTATATGTATGTCCCCCCCCCCCATCTGTAGGTCCTCGATTTCGACGTCTGTGTGTGCATGCGTCTGTGTGTGAATGTGTCTGTGTTTGCGTGTGTGTGTGTGTGTGTGTGTGTGTGTGTGTGTGTGTGTGTGTGTGTGTGTGTGTGTGCGTGTGTGTGTGTGCGTGTGTGCATCTGTATGCTTGTGTATCGTTCTTCAGGCTTTAATGAAACAGCCCACCCATGCGTCAGGCAATGTGCGTACACCTGCATAAGTACGTCAGACGAGCTGGGCACATGTGCTTGCCCCCCTGGTCGTCGTCTTCTGGCAGACAATATCACGTGTGAAGGAGGTATGTGTTGACAGCCGTGTTGCCATCGTGAATTGCGCTTTCCTTCTTCTTCTTCTCTTTCCCTTGTTTTACCGCAGAGCACTAAGCAGCAGAAACAGAGGAGCACCGACAATGACACAAACAAAGGTGTTGATGTTCCGGTTGAATGAAGAGTATTGTAGCGGTGGGACACACTAACAGAACACACACATGCGCGTGCACACACACATACACACATACACACATACACACACACATGTTTCTTTGCAGTTGGATATCGCAGAAACAAGGAAAGCATTGGATATACAGTGGTGTGGGAAGAGAACAGAAAGGTTGATGGCATTCTACTACAGCATATGGCATATGCACTCATATTTCGAAGCAGTTCATTTATGGCATAAGGTGCCAGACACAATGGTGCCTATCTGTAGAATAGTACAAAAAGTGGTGCTTTCAGTTTTCCGTATAGGCAGTGTAGTGTGCAGTGTAGTGTGCAGTGTAGTGTGAGGTACCTTTTAAAAGTAGTCCGCTGCGTGTTTACGAGCGCGCAGACACACATGTGTGTGTGTGTGTGTGTGTGTGTGTGTGTGTGTGTGTGTGTGTGTGTGTGTGTGTGTGTGTGTGCGTGTGTGTGTGTGCGTGTGTGCGTGTGTGCGTGTGTGCGTGTGTGCGTGTGTGCGTGTGCGTTTGCCTGTGTTCATTTCTAGATCCGCAGACCTCCGTTGTGTTCACGGCGAGCGATGGCATGCGGCGTCTGTCGTTGGACTCACCTTCCACTTCCAGCGTGCGCTCTGAAACACCAGTGGTGACATTTAGCTCTGGTCTGCACAACATTCGCTTTGCAGATGTGTTTGTTTCCAGTACACCAGGCCTGGGCTATATCTTCATGGTAGATGATACACTGAATAGAGTGTTCCGCAGCAATCTGGACGGATCTAACCTCACAGAAATCATTTCCAGTGGGCTTGGCAAGCCGGCAGGGGTAGCGGTTGATTACCTCAACGAGAACTTATATTTTGCTGATGAGGCTTTGGGTCGTCTGTACATGACCGACTTCGACGGTACGAGGACACGGATGTGGAGCAACTTTCTCAGGCCGCGCAGTTTGGCCATCTGGCCCGAGCGAAAGTGAGTATGGTGTTGAGCACAGTGGTGGCATAAAGTCTCATAAAGTCTAATAAAGTCATAGTTCATACACTACAGTACCGGTATGTTATGTGCTTGTTCACGGCGGCGGAGCGGTGGCGCTGGCGGTGGCGGCACACTGCCTATACATGTTTTAGAAAACTGTCCGAAATACCTTTGTGTTATGCCGTATAGGACTAGAAGAGATGCCAGGACTGAAATACCTTTGTGTTATGCCGTATAGGACTAGAAGAGATGCCAGGACTGAAATACCTTTGTGTTATGCCGTATAGGACTAGAAGAGATGTCAGGACTGAAATATCTTTGTGTTATGCCGTATGGGACTAGAAGAGATGCCAGGACTGAAATACCTTTGTGTTACGCCGTATGGGACTAGAAGAGATGCCTGGACTGCTGGTTGTGCTGAACGCTCACGTTGGTAGAGTACTTACAAATGTATCTAAACATTCCCTATTTCATGTTCAGTGGTTAGAGCATCGCTGGCCTCGAGCAAAGGTCCCTGATTCGAGTCTTGGTGGTGACAGTCGATTTTTTCCTCAGACTTTTCCCGTTTGCATCTTTCCCTGAAACCAATGAATATGTTCATCAATATGTTTTTACATCTGCTGTTGCCCCATGCCCTACTAAGACTAATTTCCACTCTGTTTTTGGTTCCTTTGGTGCAACAACACATTGTTTCATTGTTTGAGGTTTTGTCTGTTGTAACGTTAGCCTTAAAAGGACTTCTAATTCTAGCTTGGCTTTGTTGTTGTTGTCGTCGTCGTCGTTGTTGTTGTTGCAGGCGTATCTTCGTCACAGATACCCTTCAGCCCCGATTGCAGTCGTTTAACCTGCTTGCTCAGGATCTGCGCATTGTTAAGACGTTTGATTTCGTGAGTTAATGTCCTCGTCCCCGTCTGTGGCGCGGGATGTGTGTAAAATACATTGTCAAAATAGCACTTTTAAAGCGCCAACGTGCTGGTTCTAAGGACTCGATTGCTACCTTGTTAATCACCATTGTATTCGACTTGAAAAGTAATGGTGCGAAAGGCCTAGTCGAATCTATAATTATGGCTTCTGTGCTTCGTGTGCTGATATACATTGTCACAACGGGATGTGTGTATTATACATTGTCTCAAAGAGATGTGCATATTATACATGGTCTCGAAAAACGAAAGGGATGTGCATGTGATACGTTGTAGATGGTCTCAAAGGGATGTGTGGATTATCCCCTATCTCAAGCCATTGTGTACAGTGTGTAGTTGTAGTGTTCTCCCATATTGCCTATGCTGCAGGCAACAGACTGACCTCGTGCGGTATAAACGTACATGGTATTATAGCGCAAGTGTTTGGAGAAGTACTCCTTGTCTCTCATTTACAAAAATGAGAAAATCCAGATAGTGAGTGGTCAAAGGGGAGGGGGGAGGGGTATATGCAGATTTTTTCTCCTGATCTGAACTGTCCCTAAATTGTCTGATGATGCATGTCATGTCTGCTCCTTATGCAGGACTTACCCCGGCTGATCTCACTGGACAAAGAAAACTCATTTCTGTACTGTTTCACCTACGGCTTTGAGTTCCCAGGTGTTTGGCGTGTGCACGTGGACAGTGGCGCAACTGAGGTACGCACTGCTCTGTATGCATGTGTGCGTGTGTGTGTGTATGTGTACATGTGTGTGTGTGTCAGTCAAACTAACATCAGCTGATACATTTGTAGATGCACTGTTCCTGTTAGTTCTTACTGATGTACTAATGCATACATAGTAAATACGAACTCAGATTTTGCGACATCAGCGGTAATTGGTGAAGAAAGTGTCTGCTCCGAACGTCCTATCTCGCTTCCTGCCGACTGACTTGACACTTGACTGACTCACGACTGCGTCTGGAACACACGAAAAGCCCGAGTGGAAGGTTCGACTGGCTTTTCGTGTGTACCAGACGCAGTCGCGAGTCAGTCAAGTGTCAAGTCAGTCGGCAGGAAGCGCGAGCTCCGACGTTTGGAGCATACACTTTCTTCAGTACTACTGTAATGCATGTCCAGTACTACTGTAATGCATGTCGAGTGTTTTTGTGACAATTAGTGTACTGTACCTGTTCTGTTTGCCTTTGCAGAGATTTGCTCCGTTGGACTTTCGCAGTCTAAGGAGTAGAAGAGGTCTTGCTGCACTTGGCGGTGTCATCTACTATACCAATCAATTCCTCTCTTCTATCTACTCTATGAACACGTCAAACAGTAGTGGTTCATCATCAAATCTACCAAGTCAGCGACTGTTGTCAGACGTGAACTCCATTGGCGATATTCTGCTCTACCCCAGCCCAGTGAACAGTATGTGTGTATGTGTATACGGTTTCTGTGTGTGTGTGTGTGTGTGTGTGTGTGTGTGTGTGTGTGTGTGTGTGTGTGAGTGTGTGTGTGTTTGTGTGTGTTTGTGTGTGTTTGTGTGTGTTTGTGTGTGTTTGTGTGTGTTTGTGTGTGTGTGTGTGTGTGTGTGTGTGTGTAGTTGTTTGGTCGTTTGTTGGCTGCGCGCCCCTTCTGCGGTCCCAGGCGCAGGTGGAGAGACGTTGTGGCTACTGACACGAAGTCCATTCCAAACTGGTTTGATTGCGCACAAGACCGGTCAGCTTGGCGAGAGCAGGTTCTGGTTTTTCAGCCTCCTCGGGCAGTAGAGAAATCCGTACTCTGCTCATCTTGCAACCGGGCTTTCTCTCGTCCTCAAGACAAGACACGGCACAAGTGTTTGGCTGAGCGCCAACTTCCCGTCCACCCACAGCGTGGTTCAGCACAGTGCGTCAGTTGCTGCCGATGGTTCCGTAGTAAGGGTGGGCTTGCAGTTCATCGCTGCCAGCCTGCACTCCCTGAACATGCAGATACGGCATTGACGGCGTCTCTCGCCAGTTGCTGCTTTCAGCATTGTCAACGCTGCAATCGCTGCTTCAAGTCCCGGGCTGGTTTTATCCGCCATAACTGCAACCGTGGAAAACGTCTTGCTGCAGCCGATAGGGAATCACTGCCGCTGATCTGCATGCATTTCCCGAAGCGTTTCCGACGACAGCAAGATTTGACGAGGCACCAGAAGTCCTGCCAATGACGGTGCCCTCCAAACTCTGGCCCCCTCCGGGGGTGACATTGCCCAATGGGCAGTCATGCTATAGTAGTAGTAGTAGTAGTTAGTGTGTGTGTGTGTGTGTTTGTGTGTATGTGTGTGTGCACGTTCATGCGTTGTGTCCATGTGTGCGTGTGTGCGTGCATGTGAATGTATGCGGTTCAATAGCCAATTGAGTCATCTTTCCAAGATTCCTTTTGAGTCTCTCTACCCTCTCCCGGGGAGACCCACGTGACCAGTTTTGGTAGTGAGCAACAATTACAAGTACAAGTGTGTGTGTGTGTGTGTGCACGCGCGCGCATATGTGTGTCCTGTTGCTACATTGGATGAAGTAGTAGTCACCACTGTGAAAGGGGAAGTCTGGTGAAAATTTATATTTCAGGGTCCGTAGAGTTTGGGGCGCTGAGCCGAATAGTGTTAGTCCCACGTGTCTCCGAAAAAGCGTTCTTGAGATATTTCTGTTTGAAAAACTGAGTTTCGGGGGAGGGGGGGGGGGGGCTGCGCTATGACGTCATGCGGCCGCTGATGTGAAAAGTCCAACTCACTAATGGCTGAAAGACGGGATAACCCCAAGATTTGCCGAACAAAAAATCTCAGGGAACGTAGTGTTTGTAACACTGAGTGGAATGGTCTTGGTGCGAAGAAGCTGCGACAAACGGTTCCTCAATCGAACGCGTTCCGAACAATGGCCACTCTGTACACAAATAGATGGTGTGGCTACCTAGCTGCACGCTGTGATGTCATCCCCTGGATCAGGTAGACTGAGCGCTCAAATTCGCACATGGTCGATTGGGCGTAGCTGACGAACCATGGGCCGCAGCCTCCTCGGACAAAGACCATTCGACTTAGCGTCCCAAACTCTACTGACCCTGGAATTTAAGCAAGGCGGTCGATAAGTGGCCCTTTATCTGCCAGAATATCCACTTCTTGGCTACTAGTACTCCATCAGTGTCCTTTGGCTTCATTCACTGCTGCTACTGATCTTTTCATGGGTTCACTATACATATATAAGAGAAAGGACTGAAATGTTACAAGTTATGACTATGACTATTAACAGTCCACCGAGGTGGCGAGATCGTATGCAATCAGACAGTGTGACAAGGCACAAAACTGACGGGGGCACTGAGACATTCAACGATCTGATCATAACTCGTAACATGTTGGTCTTTTCTCGTATACTAGTACATGAATACGATTGGCTCACCATCCAATATTTACTCTTGTTCTGTGTGTTGTATTGCTGTGTTGTGTATGTTAGGCAGCAGTGGCTGTCTGCAGGACAATGGTGGATGCCCGGAGAACACGATGTGCACTCTTGTCGACTTGGTCATCTCTGGACAGCAGTTCGACAACCTTCCCTACTGCGTGTGCCCGGAGAATGCGGTCGATTGCCAAGAGGGTAAGTGTGAGGGCTCTACTCTGAACATCGTTGTGTCTTTAATTCATGTGAGATGTCCGCTCACCCACAGGTTGTCGGAGGGCTCTGGCAAAACTCTGTCTTTATCCGGAAAAGTGACGAAACAGGAAGACAATGGTAGTGTGTCGTGTGCAAAACGTACTGGAAATGGATGTGGAGCATGTGATGAGACCTGCACACTCTTGGGGAGATCACATCCTCTCTCTGTGTGTGTGTGTGTGTGTGTGTGTGCGTGCGTGCGTGCGTGCGTGCGTGCGTGTGGGGGGGGGGGGGTCTATTATACTCTTGGTTACGACAAGCGAATGGCAGCACTTTGCTGGGCCGAATGGCAAACGCTCAATGTGCTACATGCTTTCAACATTGGGTACATCAACAACTTGCGAATAGTAATACATTTAAAACACACTGATTTTGTATACCTGAATGTTTTCTCCCTCAAGTTTGCCCTTGAGCAATATCTAATATTGGACGGTGTACACTGCTATCGTCCGTGCATGCGAGGGTCAATGCTCTGGTTGTTCTCCTCTGACAGGGTGTTTTGTGCTGTGTGTTTGCATGCTGTGTGTTTGCATGCTGTTTGCTGTGTGCTGTGTATGCCGTGTGCGGTGTGCAGATGTAAATGAGTGCGCAGTACTGTCTGCGTGCGGGCCAGACCAGAACTGCACCAACACGGTGGGTAGTTTCACGTGCTCCGGTCAGATGAACGAGTGCCAGTCGGCCTTTCCACCGTGCCCCGTTCACCAGCTCTGCATCGAGACACCTCGACACTTCTACTGCAGCAACTGCTCAGCAACTGAGTTTGTGTGCCACGCTCACGGTGATTGCGTGAGCAGACATCTTGTCTGTGATGGCAGGAAGGACTGTATGGACGGGTCGGACGAGCTGCGTTGTGGTACGTCATGCTGTCAATATCTCAATACAGAGCATCAGCAAGTCGAATTTTCGAGTGAAATTCGAGAATCGTCACAAAAAGCACTCAACAAGTCGAAACTAGGGCTTTGTTCGACTGTAAAAGGCCCGCGAACAGAAAATTAGTTTCGAGTCCAGCTCGCGTGCTCCATGTACATGAGCAGTGGTCTTGCACACTCATGCAGTGCAGAGCTGCAGTACTGAAAAATGAATACTACTGATGGAGCGGTACCCTCCTGCACAGCGCTCCATTACATGGAGCATTTGCAAGGCGCAGTCGTGACCTAGCCAAGGTAGCCACAAACAAATGTTACTTTTCTAGCAGAGCCTTGCTAGAGCGAAAACGGCTGATGACAGTCTCTTCATCGAGATCAGCCAAAGAGATCCTATCGCCAATGGCCTGAACCGGATGAAGCATCAGTCGCTTCGCTTCATCCTCAACGGCCGCGAGAAACAGCAGCAACTCCGTTCGGTCCAGGTGACCATCAGCAAAGAGGAGAAGCGAGTCCAACAAAATCGACTTGCTATGCTACTATACAGTAGAGTCGCGCGCCCAAGAACGTTGTTTCCAAGGGGTTAGCCTGGGACGTTCTTATTTTTTCAGCAATCTGGCTGCGTTCTTATAGCACATTCTTAGAAACAATCCGTCCTAGATCATATGTATCCCATACGCTGCCAGAAAACCAACACCGCCGTTCTTAGTTTTAGGCTGTGGCGTTCTTAGAATTTCAGGCTGGACGTTATTGGGCTCCACGTTCTTCAGCGCGCGACTCTACTGTAATCAAGAGTTATGTGCTCTTGCTATAAATGCAACAACCACGGCCATTGCGCATCTAAAAATGTTTACTTCTCGGGCTCGAAAGGAACTGGAGTGCCGGAGTCGAAAATGCTGCTGCGCTGCATGCTGAACCTCTTTTTCATTCGAATTTTCGAATTTTTTCGTTTTGACACGCTCGTAAATTGACCCGAAAATTCGACTTGCTGATGCTCCGTAATAACAATGATCCTTTTCTAATTGTCCGCAAACTCCAATGCAGCCACTTACATATTTAGAAAACTTCACTTCTCAACTCCAAAAACGGTCTCTTCACTGCGATTCAAATTAAAATGAAAGGGGAAGTATACCCTAAAATCAAATTTTCACCAGTTGTAGTCTTCGGGGTACTGAGTCGAATGGTCTTGGTCCGAGGAAGCTGGGACGCTCCCTTCCTCCTTTATTCCCAATCGAACTCGCGCACTTCCACCGAAACTGGGTGACTGCGCCCTACTAGATGGGGATTTGTATGCAAAAAGTCACTAAAAGTGCCGTTTCGTTCTTATAAAAGCAAGGATGACCGCGATTAGTCCATAACGACAGAAATTCCATGCCCAGAGCAAAGTCCATTCTACTTGTATACACATAATGAGACTTCGGGTATAAGGACACTTCGTGAATAAGGACACTTTTCTGATGCCCCGCCGAGTGTCGTTATACGCAAAGTTGACTGTATAATATAGAATTCACGGCTCGCGTGAGACTCAGTTAGACCGAGTTTTCCGCATCCTAAGAATTAAACGAGAGAGCTTGGAAGCTCAGGGCCCTACGCTATGCTTTTTTGCCTTGATGACCTAGACAAAAAAAGCATAGGGATGTTATAAATTTCTCCTTTTTTTTTAAAGACATAACCTGGGATTCGAACCCGCACTATCGCCCTGCATGCATCCCCCGATACACTTCGCATACATCCTACAGTGCATTTCAAAACTATAGACGCGTAGGGTTTTTGAAATATTTCAAATTTGGCTGGAACTTTTTGAGAATAGTTTTTCGGAATATTGCTCAGGATCGCTCCACAATTACTCTCATATAGTTTCTAAAGGATTGGATAACAGACGCCCAATTTGGAAAAAATTATGCACAAAGTGATCACAGATTCTATGTGGTATAGATGCTGGCATAACGGTTTTTGCCTAGGTACGCGTCTATAGTTTTGAAATGGACTGTAATTCTTCCAAGTTGCTTCACGTTATGATCTTGCATTTGAAAGCCCTATTTGAATATGCATTGTGGCCAGCCGTCTTTGATGGTACGGTACGGGATAGGTACGGGACAGGTACGGTCAAGGGTAATACGACACTGTCTAACGCCTTGATGACGGCAAAAAAAGCATAGGGATGTTATAAATTTTTCAATTCTCCTATTTTTTCAGGCATAACCTGGGATTCGAACCCGCACTATCGCCCTACATGCATTCCCCCATACACTTCGCATTCATACTCATTCTTCCAAGTTGCTTCACGATATGATCTTGCGTTTGAAAGCCCTATTTGAATATTGCGGCCAGCTGTATGTGGCCAGCTGTGTTTGATGGTACGGTACGGTACGGGACAGATACGGGATAGCGCCAGGCGTGACACAAACAAACAAACAAACACCAAATTAAAGCTGTGTGGACCCTGGCTAGCGCCAGACGTTAACGTCTTCTGCATAGCTACGGGAATAATTTATTTTTAATATAGAGGTTCTGCTCAACAAACTATGGAAGAGCAGCAATCTCAAGGTGAGTACTTTCCCCTGTCCACAGTGGAACACAGGTGAAACGAGGGTATTCAATGCGCAAAGCATCAGTAGTAAAGCCGGGATACAGTCTAGCGAGGGTCGATATTGGTGTGAACTAAGACTTGATTTAGTAACTACAGGTGGAATCCTGATAATTCGAACCCCAAAATGCCAGGGAAAACTTCTAATTATCCGGACATTCTCCAAACATGTACCCACAGCACATTGTGTACTTACCCCCCCCCCCCCCAAGAGTACATACCCCCAAGAGTACATACCCCCCAGGGCCGGCGCCACTGGTACGGCCGGTACGGCATGGCCGTACCAACTTCCCAAAAGGTCGGTCCACGTGGAACGTCCAAAACCGGGGAGAAAAAGCTTCGATGTATGATTTTTTTAGGCACCCAAGATGGCAGAGGTCGTATCTGTTCACAGGGGAGACAGATGAATCCCGGGACATACCACCCTGGGGCCTAATAAATACAACTCCGAGGAGAGGGCAACTTTGTCTATGGTTGATGTTTATTTTAGAACAAAGAGGAAGAAATGTTTCATGCGCATGCGTATATCTGGTGAGGGAGCTGACGTCACGCTGCGAGGTCGCTACAGTACTCCCCCACCAGAGAACAAGCACTGGGGCGAGGCGTGCCGAGTGAGGCGGGGACGGGTGGAGGCGTGCGCAGCTCCAAGTCCTGTGCCGGGCGTGTGGCTGCGTGCGTGCACAGTTGAGGTGGTACGGATGGTGGAGGTGGCCAATTTCCAGCTTGAGGCCAGGACGAAGACGGACGAATGCGGACGACTGGACAGTGTGCCGTGGCAGGATAGCGGGGTATCCAGATGGGCCGGGAGGGTGGCAGGGGCCACAGCAGCTCCGAGGCGGATCCAGTGTCGAGTGGTTTTACGTCAATAGCCGGCGATTGACGGGCAGCCAGAATGTGGTGCACGCAGGAACGGACTGCGGCGAAAACCGGTGATGGCTGGCAGGCTGACGGGCGGAAACAGCATGACGAAGGATGGCGGCGGCAGGAGGGCGTAGTCCGCAGCAGCTCCAGGTATGCTGAGGGCGGGTGGGCGGCGAGAGGCACCACAAATCCCAAATCCGATAAAGTCAAAATTCGTAAAACTATAACTAGTACTCCGCAAGCGCAGCGTCGGGGGTCACCAATTTAGGCACCCAAGATGGCAGAGGTCATATCTGTTCACAGGGGAGACAGATGAATCCCGGGACATACCACCCTGGGGCCTAATAAATACAACTCCGAGGAGAGGGCAACGTTGTCTATGGTTGATTTTTATTTTAGAACAAAGAGGAAGAAATGTTTCATGCGCATGCGTATATCTGGTGAGGGAGCTCACGTCATGCAGCGAGGTCGCTACAATTTTGTACAGGGAGTCGCCCAGAGTGCAGGATTTGCCGTTTAAATTCCAAAACAATAAAGGGGGAGGACCCCCAGATCTCCCTTAAAGATGGCCTTTCGGCCGCACCGCTCCGCGGAAGCTGCCTCTGGCCCTGCCCCCCCCCCCTCCCCCAGAGTACGTACCTTCCCCCCCCCCCCAGAGTACGTACCTTCCCCCCCCCCCCCCCCCCCAGAGTACATTACATAGTACATGCCCCCACCGTGCTGGGCGAGATGTAGCTTTATTACATTGCAGCACTGGGGCCAGACTGCTGCACCGATGGCCATGACAATGCACGTCCTGTCATGCTCGCCAAGAGCAATGTCCAGTGATCTAGCCAAAGCCGGCTCAGCCGGCAGAATGCCGGCTGGGAGGGCGACCTGCCGGCTGAGACAGCTCCAAGGGTAATTTTGGCCGGCTGCAGTCACCCCCATGTAGACTGTAGTGCCCCATATCCTAGGCGTAGGTATGTACAGTACAGTACAGTACATAGCACTGGCTACTCAGGCTCAGTGCTAGCTCGTCACCCAAGCTCAAATGCACTTGAGTATGCACTTGCGTACGTCAGTAAAATGTAACAGGTTGGGTCATGGTTCGCTGCTTCTGGTGGTGTACATGGCTGTGGCTAGGCTGGGTCTTGTCAGATGACCAATGACTATGTACACTGCATGCAGACATGACCTTGGTGAACACAATCATCTATGCTCATGTAGCTGTTTGCTTCCTTTTCCATATTTTGTTAATTTACCTATAATCACATTCACGTTCACAACTGCCTCATGAATGACCATAATTGGACGAAGCGAAAGGAGATGCAAGCTACAATGAAAGATTTGTAGTGGTGTGTGTGTGTGTGTGTGTGTGTGTGTGTGTGTGTGTGTGTGTGTGTGTGTGTGTGTGTGTGTGTGTGTGTGTGTGTGTGTGTGGATACGTGACTGATGGCGGGGGTCTGGGGGCGCAGCCCCCAGAACGATGCATTTTAACTGGAACGTGTTGGCCGGCTGGCATAAAATCCTGGCTAGACCTCTGATGTCGCTTACAGCAGGATGGACATGTGGGACTTTACAGTCTTGAACCACAGCACCTGAAATTGTACGTACTTATCTGCTTTGCCAGAGCATTCTGCTTATAGGTGGCGGTACTTAGACGCCATTATTGGATGCCATGGACTTCCAGACTTCTTTGTGGGCCTTGAAACTTGCCATCCGCGCAGGAAACTGCAGCGTGTGCTTACCACTTTGCACGATACTACAGACTTGGTAGAAGAAGATATCACGGAATGCGCCATCCAACTTGTCGACAATACTTTCTTTTCAGCAGCAGTGAGGGCATTTGCCCTTGCCTTCGGTTTCCTTTCCCTTTTGCTGCTCCGGCTTTGCAAAGCATTTGGGGAGATGGATGATTGCAGTACAGTTTCATCACACTGAACCTCTTCTTCTGCCGATCCCAAGGCCTGCTCTAAAACTCGAATAGTCTCCTCGTCCATATCGATTTACTCACAGTAAGTGATTCTCCAATTCAACCACTCCAGGTGCAAACCAAAATGAATTGGTTGTTAGCAGAAACGACACCGACAACATACACTGAATTTCCTAAAATGCAGTAAAAGGACTCACCGAAGAGTGCAAAGCCTGATTCGGCTCTACATAGCCAGGTCTTAGTCGAGCGTAATCGGATCTTTGCGTCATAATACCGTACAGATCTGATTCTGGGCATGTCCGGGTCGCGCGCAGGACATTTCTGGGGTCCTGGCAGTTGTACCAACCCCGCACTGGAGTCCAAAAGCAGGTGTGCAGCATCCCTACGACTGTATCGAACTTTTGTACAGAGTACAGAGTGCCTGATATAATCATTGCGTGGGTCTACTTGGGTGCATGTGTGTGTGTGTGTGCATGTGTATGCGAGTTTGCAGGGTGTGTGTGTGTGTGTGTGCGTGCGTGCGTGTGTGCGTGCGTGTGTGCGTGTGCGTGCATGTGTGCGTGTGCGTGCATGTGTGCGTGCGTGTGTGCATGTGTGTGATTGCATTTTGTCATTGAAACAGATGGTGGTTGTCCGCTGAACGATTTCAAGTGCACTGATGGTGAATGCATCCCTCTGGACTTTCGATGTGATCGTTTTATCGACTGTTCAGACCGCAGTGACGAGATTGGCTGTACAGGTACATGCTACACATGTTGTGTATGATGTTTGCAAGTCCGCAATGCAACTGCATGTACATAATTATACATGTGCATGCTGGATACATGGCATGGCTGCCATGGTTGCCATGGTTGCAGCATTGCCACGTACCTGTGTAGGTGGTGATACAGGGCCGCCGGATCAGCAATCTGGTTTGGGGTACTACTCTGACTGGTTTGCAAATACAATGATGGGTCAGTTGTGACGAGGCTTCTTTCACTCTTCCTTTCTGGTCCGATTCTATTTGATGTTGGTATGACAGCCAGCCAATTGCATACATAAAAAGTAGGTATGATATAGAGTGCTAGTAGTCCCTTGAGAGTTGTAGCAAGTGGCAAAGAGTTGTTTGCTAGCTGAAAACAGCTATGGTGCAACTCTGAAAATGCACCACGAAGTCTTTGCATGCGGAGAAAGTGCGGACACTCGGAGCAAGTTGTGGCAGCTGAGAAAGGCTGTGTTTACATGAGAGTTTTCAACCCAGGTTGAGTTTGACCTGGGTCAAATCCGAGCCCCCCCCCCCCCCCCCCCTGAACACAGATTGACTGAATTGTTTAGTGCGCTTGACCCAGAGACCCAGGGGAGGGTTGAAATTGAGAAATCACACTTCCGTACTTCTGTGCGTATTTAGCGCCAGGCTTGCACAGCACTGCGCAGGCAAATTTCCCATACCGTAAAAGCCCTTGTATACGCCCACTCGAAATTACGCCCACCCTCTGTGTACACGCCCAGTCAGGGGAAGTCAACACTTTTGTTTAAAAATAGTGCTCATGCCCATGTATACGCCCAGGTATGCCCAGGTATGCCCAGGTATGCCGGCAACACCAGTACATATACAGGTACTGATACCCAATACTTACCACTATCCCTATTCCAAGTATACGCCCGGTTCCAAAATAACGCCCGTGCCCTTGTATACGCCCAGGAAATCGAGGCTGCTATTCTATACGCCCGGGGCCTATACACGGGCTTTTACGGTAGCTCAATTCACCAGAGCTGACAGGTCGATCGAAGTCATTTTTATGATTTTGTGTCCGGAGGAGGCACATATCTTGTTGTAAGAGTACTTTCTTCAAATTTGATGCCGTGCTCCAGATCGTTCATGCTTGGCACCGAGTGAGTATACTTGTGCTAACGGGGATTGCTACGCAGCCACTGACCACTGCGATCGCGTCTCGGACTGCACTGATGGCTCTGACGAGTGGAACTGCAGTAAGCCATGCCTGCTAATGCCTGTGTTTGCCGGTAGTAGTTTTGACAGGTTTTGAACAGTGTGCAGCGAAACTTCAGTGTATTGTGTACCCTGGATATGGCATGCTATGCTGGATATGGCATGCTATGCTGGATATAGCATGCTATGCTGGATATAGCATGCTATGCTGGATATAGCATGCTATGCTGGATATAGCATGCTATACTGGATATAGCATGCTATGCTGGATATAGCATGCTATGCTGGCTATAGCATGCTATAGCAGGGTTTTTTTTATTGGTCCGGCAATAGCTTAGCCTTTCATACAGTTTGTGTATGGTACACATGGCGTCATCAGCGGTAAACACACGTCGGTGGCCAAAACGTTGGTCCGGCCACCGGACTGGTTCCGCCGCGCCTGTTTCATGTGCTTTTCACTGGAGAGTAAGCCATTAGGATGTTAGAACTTCAGCCAGGCTATTTAGGATTAGAAACATGGATGCAGGGAATGGGATTTTCGGTCTTGACAACTGGTGGGTCTGATCTTCTCACCTCCCGCCACGTTAGGAGCTGCATCTGCGCCTTTGATCCTTGAGGGTGGTGGTGTCCCTATGGATTCTGAAAGCTCGGTCTGAGTATAACGCGAACTGTGGTTTTTTTTTTATAGAATCCGGCCCAAAAGCCAAGTACTAGTATCCATCAAGAACTGGGTTTTCAATCGGTTGTAATCAAGCCCATGGTTTAGAGCTATGTATCTGTCAAGTGTATTTCTGAATGGAGTGTTGTACTTTTGCACACATGCTGCTGCATGTACAGATGCTTTGCTGTTGTTTTCTTGCTTTACTCAACAGCATACGGCTGCAACGGCACTGAAAGTTTTCGGTGCAAATTCGGTGGCAGTTGCATTCCACCCGTATGGGTCTGTGATGGACTCCATGACTGCTTAGACTCGTCCGACGAAGAGAACTGCGGTATGTCTTAAAAGCCGTTGTAGGGCTATATTGCATTTCAGGCTGACTTGCATGTAACGTCTGCGATGAATATCTCATCCGGAACACATTGAAATTTGCTTAAATATGGACCTTGACGGCGGCAAATTATCTCAGCTTTCTGGTGGTATCTATGTTTTCTCTACTTCACCAGGAGTGATTGAGATATGGATGTATCCGTACAACCGCACAGGACACTAAACACATCACTCATCAATATTGTACAAGTAACAATTTAAATTTAAATCGTGCAATTTGTCTTCAACAAACTATCATCAGTGTGACTGCATTTCTTCATGCTGCGTTCCTAGTTTCCAACAGCATTGCCATTGGGCCAACATCTACATTTAGCTCGAACTCAATCAGAAACTACCTGGAAATGTTCTGCATATTTTCGCACTGCTGTCTCATGTCGGAGAGTCTTTCTGCAAAACTATGATCATGGCAACGTCTGTCTTTTTCTGCTGGGTGGCACTGCCTCTGCCTCTGCCCTTTCCTAAAGCCCAGAATTGTTATAATTTGGATAACTTAGACCAAAGTTGCACGATTTAATGACGAACAAATGTCGGAGGTACAGAGATTCTGACAATAACTTGCCTGTGAAAGGGCTGATGTGGGGGCTGTGTGTCATCTCTGTAAAACAATGTCCACCCAGTAGGCTATGGGCTGGCTATGCTAGTTGCACTTTGATGCTCGTATACTGTGCTCCACTGTGGTCTTAAAACCATCCCACACATGCCTGCCTGCTGTGCATGACTTGGTGAACATGTTGTAATCAGCATTCAATGTGTGTGTGTATGTGTGTGTGTGTGTGTGTGTGTGTGTGTGTGTGTGTGTGTGTGTGTGTGTGTGTGTGTGTGTGTGTGTGTGTGTGTGTGTGTGTGTGTGTGTGTGTGTGTGTGTGTGTGCGCGTGTACTATTTGAGATTTGTATGAATTTCCATGGCAGCATGTTCTCTTACATGTACTACTCTGTTTGCTGCGCAGGAAGCTCTACCGATGGTGTGCACTGCATTGCGGGAGAAATGCTGTGTGAACGCCGTCGAATGTGTATCCGCTCTACTTGGTTTTGCGATCAGGACGTGGACTGTGCGTTTGCTGGCGACGAGGAACCAAACTGTTTAGGTACTGGCTGCCGTAATCGTCGTCATGCCTTCACTTATTGCTGGCTGTGCGATAATCCGCTTACCTCAAGCGCGTGCAACTCACACTCTTCTCAAAATGTCGAACACATTGATGTCAGCGCCTGAAATGTCTGCAGTAGTCATTCAGTTGAGTGACTGCAGCATTTCTTACAGCCATTGTTATAAATTATGTATGTGTGTGTGCTCTTCCATTCTGTACTAGGTCTGTAGTAGTCCGGCAGCAGCATGGCTTGTGTGATGGCATACCTGTGTGATGTCATACCCTTGTGACGTCATACCCGGGTGACGTCATACCCGGGTGATGGCATACCCGTGTGATGTCATACCCGTGTGATGTCATACCCGTGTGATGTCATATCTGTGTGATGTCATACCCATGTGATGCCATACCTGTTATTGTACCAGCATGTTCTTTGTTTTGTTTTTCTGTACTCTCCCCTGGCTGGTTTGCAGCTAGCTGTGACTTGGCGACACAGTTCAAGTGCATCAACAGCGACACCTGTGTGCCACGTGCCATGGTCTGTGATGGCATTGCACAGTGTGTGGACGGTAGTGATGAAGCTTTGCCATCATGTCGTAAGTCAATCCCATGGTCACTGTTTCTATCCCATGGTCACTGTTTCTATCCCATGGTCACTGTTTCTATCCCATGGTCACTGTTTCTATCCCATGGTCACTGTTTCTATCCCATGGTCACTGTTTCTATCCCATGGTCACTGTTTCTATTCCATGGTCACTGTTTCTATCCCATGGTCACTGTTTCTATCCCATGGTCACTGTTTCAATCACACTCCAGTACTCACTGACAACCAGAAATCCTAGTGTACTAACAGCTGACCAGATTAACAAGGGTTGGCGTGGGCATGGGCGAGTATGTGTGAATGTGTTTGTGCCCGTGTGAGCATGCATGTGCTTGCATATGTGCATGTGTGTGCGTATGTGTGCACTCCTGGTCTGCTCTCAGAGTCTTGCGCTGGTGGCAATGAGGAGTACGGGTGTGCTGCCAATCACCGGTGCATTGCATCAGGCAAGCACTGTGATGGCGTCAACGACTGCGGTGACTGGAGTGACGAAACCGACACAGTGTGCCCTGCACCCATAGCTTCACCATGCTTGCTGCTAAGGTACTCACCTGTCCAGTGGGTTCATTTTGCTTCTAGTACTACACTGACTGTTGCATGGCAATACCATACATGTTACCACTGGTTATAAACAGTATTATGTAGTGAGTCGAAAAGTTTTGATCATGTTCTTCATAATTACGTGCAGCTCTCTGGCTTTGCCCAATACTCGTACACTGGAGTAAGTCTGCTGTTTGTACTTGTCTTCCACTGTCATTGAGTACCGGGACCATGTTTGTTGCTACAGTACTTGTAGGGAATGGAAGAGGTTGCAGTCCTTCAGACCTGTGTACATGTATGTAGGTCACGCAGATAGCCCTAGTGTCTACAGCAAGGTAGCTGACCCTAGTATCAACAGCAAGGTAGCTGACAGTTCTTTACTCTGCCATTGTGTCACTGTGCCTGTACCTGTGCCCTTCGCCACAGACCGAATGCGCTCGTATGTGGCGTGAACTGCTTCAACTTCTCAGCCACATGTTGCCCAGAGGGCTATGAGAGAAAGGAGAATGGCTTCTGTTATGGTGAGCCCTAGCATTTGAGACAGAGGGGTGCGTGCCGTGATTTGATTTGAGGGACACTTTCGAGTCATACTTCACTTGCTACATTGTAGCAACTCTGCTATGTTTTGTCTGTTTGGTGAGCTATAAAATCGGGTCGCAGGCATACTGCAGGAGCTGTCAGTGCATGTGTGTGTGTGTGTGTGTGTGTGTGTGTGCGTGCGTGCGTGCGCGCGCGCGTGTGTGTGTGTGTGTGTGTGTGTGTGTGTGTGTGTGTGTGTGTGTGTGTGTGTGTGCGCGTTGCGTTAGTCCAACATACAGGCAGGGTATCTTTAATTAAGGCTTGAATAGGTCGACCTGTCTGATGTTCAGATGGGAAATAGTGATGTTGTACATGTACTGCAGGCAACGTTCATCCCCAGTATTCCCCTGACCCTGTATACATACTACTGTAGTGTGCCCTTACTGAAACATGGCATGTGTTCTTATTGTAACCCACATGCTGTGTATAGATATTGACGAATGTTCGTCATCTCTCCGGCCGTGTAATCAGCGCTGTGTCAACACCCCAGGCAGTTACACGTGCTCGTGTGCACAAGGATACACGCTGCTCAACGGCACGGAGTGCAGACCCTCTGACCAGAGTGTGCAGCCGTCACTGCTAGTTGCCAACACCATTGACATCATCCAGTACAGCCTTGCCAATGTGCGCGCCAAGCCGCTGGTTGCCAATCAGCGATTCCTGACCTCGGTGGACTATCACTGGGCACACGACTATCTGTTCTGGACGGACTCAGTCAGTGGCTCTATCTATCGCTCCGATCTCGCTGGTGTACATACCCAGGTTATCATTCACACGCAGCTCAGCCGTCCAAGCATGCTAGCTGTGGACTGGATACATGACAATCTGTACTGGACGGATGCACTGCAGGGTCGTATTGAGTCGTCCGATCTTGACGGCAACCGCATCATTGTTCTGTTCAGTGATGTTCGCTTCAAGCCGCAAGCTATTGCAGTTGCTCCTTGTCACGAGTAAGTTAGTCAGTGCCAAACTGGTTCAGTGTTTTGCCTGTAAATGCCACCACCACTACAACGTAACAGTTACTGCATCGTCGATACAAGTTCTGCGGCATAGGCAGAATGATAGTGACTGCACTCCACCGTGTTTACTTGCACTGTGATCCAATGCTCAGTATGCACATGCAGGCAAGAAACAAGACTGGTATACGGCACTGTAGGCTGCCTTGTACTCATCTCTCATTACCTGCAAAGTCATTTGTAAAGAGGTGTGATTTGGAAACTGTGTTCTTTCTTTCCTGATGGGGATGCACTTTACACGTCTTTTCGCTGACGTCCTTGTCAGAACTAGTCGCTAGAAGCGATGCACTGATCAAAATTGTTGATAAATGCATTTTTCCCTGACACTTTCCCTTTCCCCGTGTTGTGTGGGACTGTGTAGGTACTTGTTCTGGACAGACTTTGGCGATGTTCCCAGAATCGAGCGTAGCTACCTTGACGGCACATCGCGTCGTGCCATTCACACATCCCGTCTTTACTGGCCCTCTGCTCTTACTCTGGATCTAGAGAATGAGCTGGTGTACTGGTCGGACAACAAGCTACACACTATTGAATACTCTCGGTTCGACGGCAGTGGCCGCACGCTGCTCTTGTCTCTGGATGTACAGCATCCGTTTGCGATGACTGTATTCAATGGCTACCTGTACTGGGCCGATGCCCATAGCCAATCTGTCCTCGCTCATGATCAGTGGTCCTCCAGCCGACGGCCTCATGTAATATCTTCCGGTCTGCACGTGCCATCCGACATCAGACTCTTGCACCCGCTACGTCAAATCCAGTGTAAGTCATTGTTAACCAGGTCATTGTTTTCTTGTTGGTCCTTCTGCTGCTGGTTCATGTGGTTGACGAGGTGGCCGAGTGGTTAAGGCGATGGACTGCTAATCCATTGGGCTCTGCCCGCGTGGGTTCGAATCCCATCTTCGTCGTGTACTAGTTTTTTTGTCAAACCTGGACCGGAACACAAACCCATGTAAGTAGGGAAACCCGAGCTAGTCCTAGGGCCCATTTGAAATTTCTCACTTTTACTTGGCACATGTTTGCTAACATGGATTTTATGATCATTCCTGGATGGTTTTTGCCTCCTGAACACAATGGCATAGGTTTCGATTGCCGAATTGTGTCCGAACATGGTGAAAAACATCAAAATAGAAAAAGGCCGTTATTACCATGGCAACCTAACTAGAATTGCTCCTATATCCATTTTTACTGACATGTATATGGCCAAGTAGCACCTCATTTTGCTCAGAATAAGCAGTAGATACAGTACGGCGACAAGTACTGTACTTTTACAGTGTCAAAACAAAATTTCCAAAGTGCAGTGAAACTTGGCTATTGGACATGTACATGTATTATTACATGTCGCGTCGAATGTTAGCATTGAGGTACGTGTACATGCATGTGCGGCTAGCAGGTACATGAGACTATTTACAGGCATGCATTATTATCAGACTGCAAACACGAGAGAAGCGTCAGACGGTTCGGTGTTACACTTCAACTGAGAGAATAGGTATTGTAACCCACTGAGTACTAACAGGAGAAGAAAAAGGTGGTAGGAAACTGTCAGAGTCTAAGGAAAGAAGTGCTATAGGACAGTTGCAACCTGAACTAATTTACTCGAAGTACGTGGAGATAATACGATAGATCTCGCAGCAATGTAAGAAGGACAACACTATTAATTTTGTATGCGATGGCAGTGCTGTAACGAAAAATGATGAAAATGAAAATACCAAAATCCTTTGCATACTTGTAGATATTAAACAGTCCAAACATTGGCTAGCTTGTCACATACTTAAATGCTTTGAAAAGACTTCAAGGCTGCAGTTGGACAACGCTCACAGGTGAATAGCTGCAGTTTAAAAAGCTGATCCATCCCAACATTGTGATGCGAATACTTTCACTTCCATGTGTTTCACTTTAACTGAAGTTGTTCTTCCGTCTGAGCTTTGGAAACTCTGCGCCGTACAGCTGAGCCCATCTCTACTCCGCCACCTACACCATCACTATTGGCTCTGCTGTCAGGGACAATTCTTTAGCCACTAGTACATGAGGTATTATATGAACTTGTTTTCCCTCTTCACCGCCGCTCTTGAATCGCATCAACTACGTGCCGTGATCAGTTCAGGAGAGACAAGCCATGACATTGGACATCGGACTCTTTCTTGCAGTTAGTGTTTTATAAGTATAACTGTAGTTTCACACTGCCTAGGCCCAGCCATCAAATTCTGTGACAAGGAAATTATTCTTCTACTGCTGGTGTTGCATATTGGGATAGGTTACCTCCAGGTACTCGGATTTCGTTTTTGAAACACTCCACACCACATAGCTACTCCCTCTCACTGCAGCATGGGACTCCTAAGGCAGTTGTCCTAGAGCTGTTGAGCTGGTAAATAGGCTTTTTTTTTGTGCAAATGGTAGCTGATCACCACGGTCGATGTGTTCAAATCATGGTACTAACACTAGCCGCTCTTGTAGATTTGAATCAAATGCTCGTCCACTGTAACACCTCCTGTGCAGCAGTACTCACAAAGTAAATGCCTTCATTCCAGCCCGATGAAGTTGGCCAGGTCTGAAACTTTCCACGGTTGTAGATTAGTCCTATGAATAGTTACAACTGGCTTGGCAAGCTATGATGACTTTCCCCTGCTTTCCACACATAATTGTTGTGCTGCTCCTTGTTGGAATCATGCTTACTTTTCCGGGGAGCCAAGATGACATTGTAATGAAGGTTCTGCTGAATTTAGCATCGATCCATTCGTGGACGTTCCGACAGCAAAAGCGCCAGCGAGTCAATGCAAAACTTCGAAGAATGTGTCCAAACGAGGTAACACATTTCTGGTATGTCACAACTACACTACTTGATGCTCAATCTTTCCAACTCTCGCACAAAATCTGTGTACGCGTCGGTTCGCATCCTGTGTATGTACGGTGTTACTATAGCTCCTGGCACATAAAAGGGTAAAAACTCCCAGGTCCAGTCAATATAGTACCGAGAAAGTCTTGAAAATGCTTGAATATAGCCGATGAGAACTTAGTTTTTTCGGCAATTTTGTATTCCTATCGAGGGTGATTTCGGGACCTTTGGACGCGATTGGACACGCCATACTGGGCCAAGACACTCTTGAAGACATTGTCTATCAAATAACACCGAAAAATCCTTGTTAGCCAACATGTGTCAAGGCATGTATTTTAGAGGTCGATTTTTTGAATTGGCCCCAGTACTAAGCATGCACCAGTCTTTTTGGACTTTGCATTCACCCAGCACAGCACGCCTATATATACGCGGTGACCGAGCTGTGCAGTAAGAACGTCATAGGCTGCGAGAGTGACCCCTGAGTTGTTGAGTTGTTGAGCAGCCGACAGTACTGCACTACTGTTACAGGTGTACCTTAGTGGGTAAGTCCGGGGCGTGCTGTACCTGGACATTGAACCAATTATATCGTATATACATGTACCAACGCTTTTCTCCGGCTTCATTTGTCAGTGCGTACGAGTGCGAACTACGAAGTGTGCATTCCCCGGTAGAAATAGCAGCGAACACAAAGGGTTTTTTGCGGACCTCTTGTCAGGTCAGCTGGAGGATGAGAACCTTGCCAGGAATCCTTCATGTCATCTTGCGCATGAGTGTTTGCCTGACACCAGGTGTGGGTACCTTTATACAGTGACTCTATTGCACTAGGTGTGGGTATCTTCATACAGTGACTCTATTGCACTAGGTGTGGGTATCTTTATACAGTGACTCTATTGCACTAGGTGTGGGTATCTCTATCCAGTGACTCTATTGCACTACAAACAAGTTACCTAGTGCAGTGACAACCAAGTACAGTAAATAGTGGATATAACGTGCCCCTTTGATTTTCGATAATTTATCACTATATCCGGTGCATCACTATAGCCGATTTGCATGTATGACTGACACATGGCACATGACTGTGCATGAAATGATGCGTACATGCTGGAAAAAGCATAAAAAGCAGCCATGTGTACGTGTGGCTGCTTACAGCATACAGGGAAAAAAATTCTCTCAATCATGTCTGCTGCCAGATGCATCCAGGCAACATTGGATCAGTTTTGGAAGAAGTGAACTATATTGGAAGAACACTTGTTTTGTGATCATCACTCTTGATCAGTATATGCGATATTTTCCTGTGCATTTGATATGGTTTGCTTCCTGAAGCCCATCACAATAAGCGATATATCGGTATAGCCGATAATAGTGTGTATAGTGATATTTTAGCTGTATATTTTTGTGATTTGATTTTGATTTTGGCGAGTTCTATCATTATAGCCGGTATATCGTTACACCCGGTCACTTTATAAACGATACTCACTGTAAGTTAGTCGTCAAGGCGGATTTGGTTTCCAGTGAGAGATCGCTGTCAGGTTTTCTTTTTGTTCGTGCTAATCTGTGTGTGGTTGACGAGGTGGCCGAGTGGTTAAGGCGATGGACTGCTAATCCATTGGGCTCTGCCCGCGTGGGTTCGAATCCCATCTTCGTCGTGCATCATTTTTTTGTCTCGTCTGGATCATCTGGATTGGTGCACAACCTCTGTATGGAGGTTGGAAATGGCTGTGATAACAAAAATAATGTGTCAGTGGATTTTGATTGTTCTTTTGTGTGATGTACAGGTCCTGCCAGTGACCACGCTCACTGCAACTTGAACTGCTCATACCGCTGTCTACCTTCCAATGAGGATGCAACGCCACCTTTCTCGTGCTTCTGTGGCCCACAGCAAACCCACATACCCAAGAAGACCGCACTGCAGAACAGCACAGATCAATGTGTGGAGGGTAAGCCGGTACACTTGCTGGTGCTAAACAACCGAGTCCCTCGTTCTTACTCAGCTGATGATGTCGGGCTATTGTGTGCTGTGTGATGAAGTAATGTGATCTATTGTTATCCTGTTGTATGGTTATGGCTGGCAATGCTGTGCACAATCTAACAGTTAGTCCATGTTGCACAGCACACACGACGATCCATTGTTCAGACTAACTACAAATGTTTGTCAGTTTGCCAGCTGCGTTCCTTTAGATGTATTCTGTGTACGTATTTCTTACACTATGGCTTGTTGTTGGCTGGCATGCATGTCTTTGTGTGCTTGTGTGCATGTGGGTGGCCGCGTGGTGCGGTGCTTGCTTACTATTAAAATGCTGTTCTGTGTGTCAGAGCTGCCTACGCTGGTACTGTCGACGACCAACAGTGGCCTGCGGCGTGTCTCTCCGACTAGTCACGCATCAGAGATCCTTGCTGGTGGTCTGCGGCCAGTGTTCATGGCCTCGGCAGTCTTTGGCGGTGATCCATCTACAACGGAGATCTACTTTACTAACCTCAGTGGCTTCATCTTGAAGATGCAGTTGCTGGGAGGAACTCCTGTCCTTGTTCGGAATTGTAAGAATCAGTGTTACATAATGTCTTTGAATCACTGTGCTGCATCGTGCTGGAACTATTACGATTTTGATTGCTTAGTTGACATCATACCGATTAGCTTATTGCTATTAGCTTTATTGGCTTAGTAATCATTGCTCACTATCTGTTCTTTCCACTAGGCTTTTACCTTTTAGTATGGCTTCTTATGAACACCTGTTGTGCATTTGCTCAAGATGACACCATGCCTTGGAATGCTGAGAAAGTGCATTCATACAAGCATGTAGCTGGCAACACAGAAAGTGTGCGAGACCAAAGGCGCCACTTGTCAGAGAGAACTGCCATGAGGAATTTCACCAGAGCCCTGCTTCAAAAGTGAAGGTCACGGCGTGTGTGGAGCGCATATTCAGGCGGCATGCCAGGTATATCTCTGTAGAGCTCGAAAGCGATGACGTCAGAAGTCAAAGCCTAACTACAAATATCGACTTTTGGATCCACTCTGCCCATAGCGAAGTACAGGATGTGGTGGGTGAACCCCTCGTGTCGCACGCAGGTCTGATTGTTCTGTGCCAGGAGTGGGTCCGTGTCCTTCCCTGAGTAGGAGGGTCCAGTCCAATCACTACCGCTGCATCCATCACTACACTGGGAAGGAAAACCACCCAAACGTGTATGAATCCATGCAAAACTGGATCCAAGTGGATCCAGAAGTCAGCGGTGTCATGGCTCCGGGCTAGGATCCAGAAGTCAGCGGTGTCATGGCTCCGGGGCTAGCGGCGACTTATCACTTTCAAGCCCTATTGGAACGCTTTTGACATGCATGTACAGAGCCAAGAGGTGGGAAAATCCCGAATCAGCGTAATTTGCTATAAGGGGCCATCTGCAAAATTCGAAAATAAAAAATCCGGATACTAGTAGTGTCCGGGTAGTAGCCAAAGGGGGGGGGGGGTAGTTAAAAGATGCCTGGCGGATTTGTTCATGTATATTGTTCGTGTTTGTGTTTGTGTGTTGTTCTGTATGTAGACATACTCACTGGCCTCCTCAGTATTGCTGTAGACTGGACGACGGGTCATATCTTCGTTGCTGAATACGTAGGCGGCAGACAGTTTATAAACCTATTCCATCCAGACCTCGGGCGAACACGCGTGCTCATCACCTTTTTTGGTCGTATACAAGATATCATTATTTGGCCACAGCGTGGGTAAGTAGAGGGCAATGGGGGCATAGTCTACCTCTATCTTTGCCACATGTTTACACTGTGAAACGATGTGTGACATTTGCAGATTTCAATGTGACCTGCTTGGGTCCTCTCTTCATCCTCTCTTCATCATTCCTGATGATCATGAGGTTGCAACAGCGCTGGTGTCCGCACACACTAGATTTTATCATCGTTTTGAGCGCAATGTCATAATTCTGTCAACAATGCAGCCGTCTGCCCCGCTCGGATAATTCTACTGTAGTACTAGCCTTACCAAGTTACCAGACATGTACGTTTGCATGATTGGTCACTCACGGTCGTCATAACAACAAGCCCGGATTACATTTGAATCCGTTGAGTTCTTTGTCCATTGTTGTTCTCACATTTTGCTGATTGCAATAAAAACTTTGTGTCGAGTAGCCTAGGCAGAACCGATATCATGGTAGTGACATATATACATCGTGTTATGAGAAACTCTGACTTGCATAGCCATTGCTCAATGAATCCTGCTGATGCCGTGCACCACTGGGCCAGTGTCCACCTGTGGCAAGTTCTTTCATCTGCTCGTAAATCTGCTGCGTATGCTAGCTCATGATTTCTGTCACCCAGGCGGAGCACGTGTGATGAAGGATAACTCTCATCTTCTCTTTATTATATTCGTCACGTCATCTTCTCTCATTCTTCTTATCAATATACATTATAATTTTTTATTTCTGTCTGTCTGCCTGTCTGTCTGTCTGCTGTCTGCTGTCTGCTGTCTGCTGTCTGTCTGTCTGTCTGTCTGTCTGTCTGTCTGTCTGTCTGTCTGTCTGTCTGTCTGTCTGTCTGTCTGTCTGTCTGTCTGCCCGTATGTGTGTTCCTCTGTCTGTACATTTCCAGGCTGTCTGTTTGCCTTACGTTCTGATAATGTTATTTGTTTACCGATGGCATGAGTCCTGTGCAAGTCTTGCATATACTGGTATATGCTGTGTTCTTACTTCTCATGGGGGGTGCTGGGTGTAGGCGCATCTTCTGGACTGATCAGCTCAGAGATGGAATTTTTAGCGCTAACATGGATGGCAGCGATGTACAGCAGATCCTTCGTACAAATAATCCCGTTGCTCTAGTCTTGGACTATGACCTGGAGAGGTTTGTCTGGTCACGGCCCGCTCCACAGGATACCATTCAGAGTGCTAGCATCCAAGGCACCGCATTCACGGTAGGTCGCCTACCTGCCTTGCAGGCTGTTTCTGCTGGCCCACAATGCGTATTGCTCGGTTGGAAATGGTACTTTTCTACAGTCCCTGCCTGCCCCGTGCACTGTTTGAGATCAGCTTGCTGTTGTGATCACTGATCATGGAGAAGCGCTTCACTACACCCACACAACTTCCTGTGCATCAAGCAGGTGCCCGATATTGTAGTCGCTCAGCCAAAACGAAATTCGTCGGCACACCATTGGCCTAGCGCCACAGGAGAATTTCTTCTCGGTTCTATAGAGGTCTCTGTAAAAAATTAGATGAAAACTTAGCCAAAAAAGTACCTCCCTCAGCCATTGGATATATACTACACCTGTACTGCGTGCAATGGAAATCGGTCAACCAAACAGTTGCCTGCGACGCTAGGAGAAGAGCAAAAGGCCGCGCAGCTCTGACCTTTTGTCATGTATTGATGTGTTGCTTATTGCTATAGTACCCTCGCTGTTAGGCGCTACATCTGCCACCCTGGTATCACAGGCATGGTGGTGGCCTGGCACATGCGAAACTTCCTAAGCTGGTTGTGTTTCTCAACGCAATTGTATAGCCGGTGGTAACGCGGACGTGCAAACTTTACTTTTTTTACTTGTAGTGATGTGTTGCTTATTGGTGTAGTACATGTAGCACTTCAAAGTACACACGGGCACTTCTACAGGTACTTCATGTCAAGTCCTGGATCTTTCATGCTTGTATCATAGTCGAGATGCCGTGATATTGACCAGCCCTTTTTCTTGCCTGTTGTTCCCTCTAGACTCATCTCAACACATCCCACTTTGTGTTTGGAATGACATTGCTGGGCAACGATTTGATCTGGACGAATAAATTTGACGAAACCGTCAGTCGCTTGTCGCTCTCGAATGCCTCTGATCATCAGATCATCCAGCGTGCAACGGGAGAGCCGTTGTTGGTTCTCGCTGCGCCCTCTCCTTATCAGCTAGCTAATGGTGAGACTGGGCCAAACAGATTGGACAAAGCTGCTTTTATGACATGATAAGTTAACAGCTTTCTAGCTGTACTGTTAGGTATGGTGTGTGGTTGTGTACGTGTCCGGAGGTGCGGGTTCGAATCCCACCGCTGCCACCAATTTTGTAGCGGGCCGCAGTCTCTCGGAGGCAAAAATACAAGGGCCTCAG